CCTGGGCATCTGCCCTCTTTGCCAGGTCAGTTATCCAGCTTATCCAAGCAAGTGTTACACCTCCGTCCATGGTGTCTGCAGTTGTCCATGTGCATGGCCTTAGAATTACCATAGTTTTAGTGCTGAAACAATCAATTCATTTCAATTTGCTCACAGAAAATTGACAACAATTAGTCATGAAAGTCATTTGTCCTGCAAAAATGCAAAATAAATCCTCCTCCAATGAATCCTTTCCAGCTCTTCTCTGTTTTATATTTCATTGTAATTTGAATATCTTTGGATTCTGAACAAAAATATTTTCATATTTTTATACTTGTGGTAGAATTTCTTAGAATTTCTTAATGCTTTACAGACTAAGAAACATTTTACAGATGAATCAATACTGACAATAATTATTAGTTGCAGCATTAAAAGTGCATCTCACCTGAAAACTTACAAAACATGAAACATTACATCGTGATGATGTGATGGTGACATTCAGTGAACAGACAGTATCTGCCTGATGTCAGGTGAGGAAAACTTTATGCTCGGGGTCAAAAGAAACAGGTTTGACAGCTTCTGCTTTGTAGTTGTGGTATTACATTTTGTTTCGTCGCTCAGGGGACGTTTCAGGAAGGTTTTATAATCATGAGGAATTTAGCAGCACAGCACACACACACACACACACACACACACACACACACACACATGAACTCCAGGGTAAACCGGTAAACCACCCATTTATTAGCTTCTTATGACTCTTGTGTTTACTTTACACAGAGTCCGTCATATCTGTAAACTGCACTCACAACCACAGTCTGAGATGTCCCCCGTCTCGCTGCCTGTCACTCGCTCTCTGGTGACTGACGGCTCCCTCGTGGTTTTCCCTGACCCCAGCCCGCTGGCCTGAATCTGATAAACACGGTCGCTAGCTGTGTGTTATCGCAGGCTACCTGAAAGCTTTTCCACCCCCACCGTTCGTGTGATTCATAAGTGGCCTTCATCTTCCTCTGCCGCTGCCACTTTGGCGTGTCACCATTTGATATTTCACTGTGGGTGATCAGTGCATGTTCAGCCTTTGTGCGCCCACATGAAAGACCTCGTTCACGCCATAGAAATTGTTCTTTTCTTGCTAAATGACCATATTCAGCCGGAGGATTTCCTTTAACTTCTCTTCCGGCTGCATGTTGATGTGATTCTCCTACCTGGAAAGTGTAAGGAACAAATACCCAGCGATGAGAGTTGACAGATTTTAAAGATATGAGGTGACACTGGGGCTCCTCCATGTGGCACAACAGCATATCAACCAGTGAAATCTACTTAAAGAGACTTTCAAAACTGTAGAAGAGAGTGCAGGGAAACTGTTTCATGGGTCCAATCTGAAAACAAAAACTTTAGATTTTTCTGGGGAAATGAGACTAAAAACCAAAGTTATCTGATTAATTTCAGTGATAGGATAAAAGACTGATGAACTATGAACCTCCAATTCGTAATCATCAAAAGGAACAACCACCATTAGCTTGAGATAACTTCTGTTGTGATTTGGCACCATTTAAATAAAAATTGACTTGAATGACTTAAAAACTGTGAACACATTCTCATAAAAATAACTTTGAATGAAGAATAACAGGTGGTTGAACTTGGCTAAAATATGAAAGAAGAGAAAGCCTACCTCTCCTCATTAACACCACACAGGAACAAATTAGCACAGCTTTCACTAATTGGAGCATCAAATAGAAGGGTCTGTCATAACATCCAGTCATTTCTTTTTTTAATTTTGATTTTCAAAAAGTCTAAATATCTAGACTTATTTTAATTTCCTCTGACTGAAGTATCACGTGTGTCATAGTCATTACTTAGAAATCAGGACTTCTCATGACTCTGCTCCACCTTTCATTCAGTATCAATGAGTGTCTATGTTTTTTTCACCTCATCTCTGTGTAATCAGTCTGTGTAGAAGGGTGAAAAGATGAGATTAATTGCCGGGGCGTCACCTGCAGTTGTCTCGTCCTCCCTGTCACTCCTGGCCTATTAGGCTCATTACAGAGACGCAGCCTAACAGTTACAGAGACAGTCGATTACTGGAAGGGTGTTGTCGCCCTGAAAACCACTAAAGCTCTCACTCTGCCAGAAGAGGCTGTGGACAGCGAGAGTGGAACACAGGCTGATAGAGTGGGGTGGGGTGGGGTGTGGTGGGGCAGTTGGATAAAGTAAAGTTTATGCAAAGTCTTAAATCTATACATACAGAGTTTAACACAGAAGCAGAAAATGGTTCCTTAGCCTCATGAACACAACATTTTAACATTTATTATGATTTTTTTTTCCCATGAATATTAAAGGTCTATATAGTATAAAGGTAGATGTCCATGTGTAGTTTGATTATAGATCAGGTCTAGGTTCTATATTAATACTGTGAAAGTATCAAAGCCTCAGTCCACAGAGAAATGCACACAGCCTGTATTCAGAAACTGAGCCTTAAACCAGCCGTCAGGACTTCTGTAACTTTGTGATGTCACAACAAAGCAGCCACCACTCTCAGCTACACCCCAAGCCCTGTCCACCTGGACCCACCATCCAACCTTGCAGGATTTGGTTTCTCTGAGTGTTTACCTGAAATCTGCTATATTTTTATTGGATCACTCAGAAAACAGTCAGCCAATCAGAAGAGAGGCTCGGAGGCTCCTCTCTTCTGATTCGGTCACTGACCTGTTGTTTTTAGAGCTCCAGAGAGAAGCCTGAGAGAGAAGATGCAAAACTACACCGAGATGGTTTTCGGTTCTTAAAACCACAAATATATCTTCTTATGGATCAACACTTCAAATAAAACACAGAAGAAGAGGAAAATATGGGGCTCTTAATGTTCAACTAAAGTGAGGAAAGTTTGATTTTAAAAAGGTTTGAGGAGCTACACAGGCTCATTTTATTGTCTTTACTGTGTGAGATTTATTAAAAAGTAAATATAACATAACATTTGGTTTACGGTTGACGAACCCTTATTTACCTGAATGAAAAATTGTACTCGAAGTCTCCATCTTATCATTATAGTCTATAATTAATGCGTGAGACCACCTCTGCAAGGTCGTTACAGCCGAGTAAATCAAATCAAGGCCGCTACAGAGAACTGACTGTCTAACCCCTGCTGTTCTCTGCACATTGGATTACATAAAATCAAATTATATGCCCTTTAGAAAAGAGTGATATTTTTGTGTCCTCACATCTATATCCATAGATGATCTGTTAATTAAATCCCTCAGCCTCTATAGCAACATGTTCACATTTTAATTAGCACACTGGCTATATGAAACATAGCTTTATGTCCGTGTTCACTGACCAAGTTTCTCCTCCGAGGCTTTTTATGGCCCTCTGTCATGGTGACTGAGCCTGGGTGCAGACTCTGTGCTAAAGGTTTACACAGTATCTAGTTAGATTTTAGAGCGCTATGCTCCACAAATTCATACATCAATGAAGTAAAGCAGATTTTTTGTTGAAACTACTTCAACTTAAGATACAGATTTTATATTAAAGGCAGAATCTGTGCTCTGAATTTGAATGAGATTCAGCACTTTTCATCGCTCCCAAGTTGAATGTCTGGTCTTTTAAATACAAGGATGAGAACTGGATGTCAACAGGTTACTGTTAATATTGATATTTTTATGCTGTTCAAGGTTTGCTTTAATTCCAAAAATGTATGCACAACCGCAAAACTGATCCACATTTTTAATCATCCGTCATTAAAAAGAAATGCTGAAGTTTCATCCATATTTCAAACAGTTATGTTTGTGAGAATATGGTTAGAAAGTTACAGATTGGCCCTTTGATCCGTTCCATTTTTTACTGTTAATCTAATTATGTTGTTGAGGCAGAAATATTTACTAATGAATGCGTGAAATAGCCTAATTAATAATCTAATTAGCACATCTGGCGATGCTTAATGTGTGATGGTGATGATAGCGCAGCATTACTTACGTCTCTCATTTAAAAATAACGTTAGTCTCAGTTTGTTTTGTGCATCTAGATTCAAGCCTTCAAAAGGAACCGGTGTTAGTCGGACCAACTAGTCACATACTGTATGACAGTGCGTAGGCTGCAGACTTTCTCTGCAAACAACCCGGCCTCGATCATTAACACCTCATACTGGAGCTCAGTGCTGTCTGGCGCTCGGAGAACGCTGCTCCACATTATTCAACATCGTGGGAATCTGCAAGTGCTTTCGGTTGCATAAGTGAACCTGAGGATAAAGTCGGGCTCACCATGTTCTACATTTGCCGCCGCGCACATCAGGGCGATGCTGGATACGGACGAGTGGCTCCACTTGTTTTGGTGGAGAGATGTCCCGTATCCTGACACAAGCACTAAGAGGACTAAGTGCGCTGAGTCGATGAAGAAGTGGAGGGTGAATGAGTTTAAAAGCCAGATAGAGCTGAAGTGAGAGCCAATTTGAATCGGGAGAGCCAGGTGCTTCAATTCAGCTAATCTTCAGGAAACGCAGAACGCCAGTCACCATAATCACATAATAGACGCATGCATGATCGTTCAGTCTGAGGGGCTTGACTTCTTTTTCTCTAATTCATGGTTTTCAGGTCTGTTGTGCTGTGACATTTTCTAAATGCACAGCGATGTCGATTTTTCAAAGCACACTTTGTCTTCCTTTTTATATGTCATCATTGTGATGCATGATGCCCGGAAAGTCCATCAAAATGCAATCCATTATCTTGCCGAAATCCTTTAAACTTTCAGTTGTTGAAGGGGTTGACTCACCAAGTTTACACAATGGGATATTCTCTGTGGTGCTCACAGGTCTCTAGATTATCCAGAGTAATCGGGACAGAGGTTTTGGGAAGAGATTTTGCTGTTCAAATAGATTGCTTTGATGATCTTTTTGTCTCTGGATTGTGGCATCCTGCTCTCAAACCTTTGTAAATTTAACCCTATCAGAACAGTGTCCTAATCAGGGAAATGCTGCCAAGTTTTTTTTTTGTTTGTTTTTTTTTTCATGCCATCCTTTTCCCTCCTCTCCCCAGTTTGTGGAGGCCATCAGCAATAAGCAGAGCGAGCTGGACAACTACATCGCTGAGGGCTACAAGAACGCTCTGTCCGAGGAGAGGAGGAGGTACTGCTTCCTGGTGGACCGCCAGTGTGCTGTGGCCAAGAACAGCACTGCCTACCACAACAAGGTAAGAAGGAACCACTAACCTTTCTCAGATATGTCACGGCGAGATCATTTTTAAACTAAGCTACATAAGCCGAAACATCACAGCATGTTCACATCTTTCTTTCCCCAGCACTGTGACAGTCTGCATTTATTCATCCATTTTCATTCAAGAAATGACCCCAGGTGCGCCGCCATTATGTCATACATTTTCACATGCATCGGTGCAGCCAGACAGGAGTTTTATATCATCCAACAAATTGATAAGAAAAGCGAGTCTCTCCCACCTCTCACTCCCTCACACGGGGGAAATGTGAAGTGGTAAAGCGAACTGAGAGAGGATGGAGAGGTGGAGGGTGAGTGGGTGAGGAGGGGGGTTGGGAGGGGGGGGGGGCGAGAGAATGACCTACTTCTGCAAGAACACTTGGTTCAGACTCGCAGTGTGAGGGCGTCAAGGTGTCTGAATGACTGATTGATGGACAGAGGGAGGAAGCACAGAACGCAAAGTGCCGATGTGATGATGCATCAAGAGCAGAAAAAGACTGAAGTAGTGTTAAACTCAGTTATGATTTACACTTGACTCTAGAATAAAGTTGTGTTGATTAGTCAATCAACAGAAAACTTAATTGGCAATAATTTTAATTATCGATTTATCGTATCAGTTAAGCAAAAATGCCAGACGTTCTCTGGTCCCAGCTTCTTGCTCCGGGGTGAAAATTTCTTGCTTTTCTTTCTAATATGTGACAGTAAAGTGAATGTTTAACGGGGTTTAAATTGACTGTAGGCATGAATTAAGTGATTAGAATACATCACCTTGAGTTGTGGGAAATTATAACAGGAATTTGTTGCTAATTTTTTTGACTTTTTAGACCAAACAGCTAATTGAATAATAAAAGAAAGCACCCGGCAGATTGATAAATAATGAAAATAATCGTTAGTTAAAGCCCCAGATAGTGACAAGACCAAGCCATAAAATAAGTGTTCTTACTGCCTGATCAAAACATGCTGGAACTACATTTTTACTAGGTAGTTGCTAAATGTTGGTGTGGTTTTATTATGTGGTTGCTAAAGTGTTGTAAGGTTATTGTTAGATGGTTTCTAAACGGTTGTGAGGTTGTTGTTAGGTAGTTGCTAAATGTTCTTATGGTATTGTTAGGTGGATGCTAAAGTGTTGTTAGCTGGTTGCTTTGGGTATTTGTGTAAATTCCCCAGTTTAGAGTAGTTACATTGTGACCAAGCTGTTAATGAGTAATAACCCGTTATAACGCTAGTGGTTGGTTACTGTGCTTGTGCTGAAATGAATACTCGATTACTTTCTAAGTGAATAAAGAGAAAATGAATTGGCAGCTGTTTTGATCATTCTTCAGGAGAACAGCTCGCATACAGAAACAAGAAAAAGAGTGAAACAAATGAAGAAAGAAATGTGGATTTTAGTCATCACACTGGTAAAAGCACTGACCACCTACACTCTACCTTAGCTATTTGATAGGGCTAAGTGAGGTCATAGTGACTCATCATTTCCACCAGCAGCAAGTCACATGGACAAAGACTTTGCTGCACACATAGAAATTCATGGGCGATATCCCATTCATCCCAATTCCTTCTGAGCTGTTTGTGTTTAGTTTCGAGATGACTGAAGGTTCCTGGAATCTGGAGTTCACAGTCGTGAACTTGTGATTTTTTTTCATTTTTATTTTTTATTTTTTAGCCATCAGAAATCATAATAAACTTAACTACATATAAAGGTCAGGAACAAAAAACCATTTCAGACAGAACACGAGTCCCTAGTAACATGATGCTTACTCTGTCGGTATGCATTTGTTTTCGCCGTACTTTTGTATTTGTGTATGCGTTAGTTTATTTGATCATCCCGCCCACACCCTGACACCTGACGCTGCGGCCCACACACACTCAGCAGGGCCAGACAACCTTGGAGCCGCACTGTGTTTATCCTCCACACCAGCCTGGTGGAGTTAAAACTGTTTGAACAGCAGACTCTCCTCAGCGTCCTTCATGGATTCACGGATCCAGGACTCCCTCATTTATTCACAGATGATGAATGCAAATGAGAAGTATCTTTATGTAACTGCCCTGCTGTATAATGTATGGAGGGAATGTGACTCGGCCCGTCGAGCACCAGCTGAGAGCTTCTCAAACCGGTGCATTCATAAAGAGGATTCATATCTCTCCCTCTCACTCCTGCCTCTCATCCCTGTTCTCGTCTCTCGTTGCCTGCATCCACTGCGTGTTCCTCCTCTTTTCCTCCCGTCATTACCGTATACTTCTGCTCATGTGAATTAAGATGAATAATGTGGCGTATATAGAGAAATTCCATCGAACGTTTACAAAAGCAGCATCACCTCTGGTGGTGTGTACAATATATTTCTTAGTTCTCTGTTTAATTTTTGCTTGTTCTTTATTGCCAATGTACTGGTGTATACAAAGGAATTCAGGTGCTCAACCTGAGCAGAGAAGAAAATATACAATTAATATTAAATATACAAGGAATATATAAATATAGATAAAAAAAGAATTAGATCTGTCCATGCAAAACCTCACAGACTCGCACTCAAGAACACACACATACGCACACTTCGCCTACATATGTACCCTTATGTATTATGTAATAATTCCAGAGTATAGGATATTGCACAGGCATAGATACTGAGTTAATATATTTCAGTGTAATTTGGGCCAATAAACAAGTGTAAAGGATTTATTAGCATTGTCAGACATGGTGTTGTAAACTTTCACTTTTTTTCTGAACTACTAATGAACTGCTTTCTTTTAATTAAAGAAGCATATTTTCCTCTCAGGCGAACCCAATAATACCGTCTTTAAAACACAGGCCCAGCCTGCTGATGTTTCCCCACCCTCAACCCACTCTCTCCCTCTTCTGTCCGACAGGGGAAGGAGCTTTTATCCCAGAAGATCCCAGTGTGGCAGCAGGCATGTGCCGAGCCCAACAAACTTCCAGATCGTGCCATGTTTCTGGCCCAGCAGATGAGTGGTGCAGCGGGCACCATGCCTCCCGGTGCTCATCATCCAGGCATGCCCATCTCTGAGCCCATCCCTGGTGTTAAACCCCTGCCGGTGCCTCCGGAACTGGCAGCCCTCAGGGCCAGCGGGGGTATGGGACAGCAGGTCAGTTCCTCTAGTACCCTGTAATCCTCCTTTAGTCTAGCTGAGGCCTGTGCACATTTTTTTTCCAGAATGCTTGATAAACATTTGAACCTCTACACTTCGAGGACCATCATTGACGTAATGCATTCTCTAGTCCGAACCTTAGCTTCAGAGTTTAAGCTTATAATCAGGTTTAAGCTAATTTACCCCCAGACAGCCTTTTAAGAAAATGAGACCAAATTTCAAAAATGTCTTTACTGTCACAGCACAAACATGCACACATCCAAACACAGGTAAGTGGTGTCTAATCAGACCCTTATGAGTGTGTCAGGGGGTGTTGCCCCCGGATGTGGCTGTTGCATGATGGGAGCCCTCAGCACATCCTCAGAACTCTGGGTGAATGCAAATGAAATCGTTAGTGAACCATGCTAATTAGCTTGTTGCGCAGAAGAGGTTTAAATTCCTCACGTCCTCTGGCTCTTTTACACCCTGCCCCCTCCTCCTCCTCCTCCTCCTCCTCCTCCTACTACTCCTCCTCCTGCAGGCCTGGTTACAGGAAATAAAAAAAAAAAAAAGAAAAAAAAGAAAAAGTTGAAGATTTACATGAAAGAGCGCCTCGGTTTGGCCTGAGCGTCTAATTAAAAACTGTGGTGCAGATTCAGTAGAGCTTTATGTTCCCAGATTAAACACACTTTGAAATTCTTTGCAGTCTCCCAGTAGTCATTTCATATGTTTATCTCTAAACCAACATGCACTCAAGTGTAGTCTTTTCATTAATCAGCATTCCCTGACCCAGATCCACTCTCCACCTCGTTCCTTATTATTAATGAGCTGCGAGATGTCATGTAACAGTGTTGGGTGATGTAAAGAGAGGAAGGCATTGTGTTTTAATTGCCTGTATGCCAATTTCGTCACCTTCGCAGAGGCTGATGGGAGGTGTAGACGGAGGGATGCCGGTGATGAACGGCACGGCCGGCGCTCACGGAGGAGAAGACTACCAGCAGTGGATGGAGGGCAAGGTGGCCCAGGGCAAGGTCTCGCCCCAGACCCAGCGGCATGGAGGGGAGGTCTACTCCAACACCCTGCCTGTGCGCAAGGCCGCACCCGCCAAGAGCAAGACCACACTGAGTAAGGACACACACTGTGAACTAATGTCCAACTGCGCTCTAAGTTTAACCTTATTTAATGTGGCACAAGTCCTGGCAACATTTAATACAGGCAATTTCTGTTTGGCAAAGGATGTTGCTGGAAGCCTTTATTAACTGGACACTGCAGGAAATGTATAATCCCAATTGTTTTATTATATTAACATGAATCAAATGACTACAAGTAATATGAAGTAGTTAAAGTATCATCCAACTCTTCTAGCATCTTTTCGCTCTTTTAACCGTGAGCCAATAATATGTCAGGACTGTGGGTACATCAGCTAGTTGTGGATTTCTTTTGCCCCCTAGTGGCCAAAAAAGAAAATGCAACCTGTGCAGGTTTAATGAGAAGAAACCCAAAGCAAGTGGGAATAGAAGGAGGTGTGATATTAAAAATGAGTTAAAAAAAAAAAGATGAAGGACAGAAACAGTTTTCATAAAAATGGGGGAAAAGTAAAAAATACTGTTGTGCTAGTAAATTCCTATTCCTACTGTTAAGAAGAGCAACGCATGTCCCCCCTCCCTTCCTGTATTTACACCAGCGGAGACCCGTACTCTGCCCCGGTCCAGCTCCATGGCTGCGGGGCTGGAGAGAAATGGGAGGACTCGTGTCCAGGCCATCTTCTCCCATGCAGCTGGAGACAACAGCACCCTGCTCAGCTTCTCTGAGGGTGACATAATAACCCTGCTGGTCCCCGAGGCCCGCGATGGGTGGCACTACGGAGAGAATGAGAAGACGAGGATGTGAGCGCAACTCATGTATTCAAAGAAAATTTAATTTTGTTTTGTCTTGACACTGTCTCATTTTGGTTTGCAGAGGAACCAGTGATTGTTTTTTGGTCCAGTTGCTACGACTATTTATGACTATATATTATAGAAAGCACTTAAAGTAGATTTTATTAAATCTCTACCATATTTGTTACAAACGCCCGGACAAGTTCTTAATTAGTTTTTTGTGTTGCTAATATCTGGTGTCACCTCCTCCAGGCGTGGCTGGTTTCCCTTCTCCTACACCAGGGTGATCTCTGACAATGATGGCGACTCCATGAGGCAGCTTCGAGTACACAAGTGGGTCTTTGGGTGTTGTTATTTCTTTATGAAACATAAACCAATTGAACTGATATATTTGTTTCATTTTTTTTGGGGTGTTTTTTGGGGTGAATATTGACCTTTTTTATTTGTTTTTGATTAAACTTTGTCAGGTACAGTTTTGTTTTTAATATATATTGATAGTGACATTGATTTAGCCTGAGTGCCCGCTGATCACTCCCCTGCAGATCTATCTATCTACCCCATAAACACCAACAAACTTGCATATTTGTTCCTGAATGGCCTCAGGGGGGGATTAGCCTTTTTCCTCATTTTCTGTGCACCTGTGTTTCCAGCCTCCACCACGGGAAGAGCAGCAGCACAGGCAACCTTCTAGAGAGAGAAGACATGGCTCTCCCCGCCCCTGATTACGGCATACACTCCCGTATGGCGGCACAGAGCGCTACTGCGCTGCACGGCAGACAACAACGCCCCTACAGCGTGGCGGTTCCAGGCTTCTCACAGGTGAGTGGGGGGGGGGGGGGGGATGGGGTCCTGCAAAACAACTATACGAACACACTGGCCATCTACCCACACACGAGTTTCACACGTGACACACGAGCTGAGGCGTCGCACAAAACCTGGCGAAGATCTGCGATCGTCTGTCTGAGAAAGTTTGGAGCTTTTCCCCCTAAGCCCTGCTGACAGGCTGTCTCTTACTTTACCAGGACCCAGAGTTCTCTTGTGCCGCAGCTCGCCGAGAACGCTCTGCTACATTAGCTTCTATAAACGCAGAAATCAGTTCTACTTGGCTTCACGCGTTCCTGTTTACGGAGGCTCGAGTGGAAGACGTGGCACAGCTCAGACTGAAGAAGTCTACCTCTGCGCCTGGCTGCCTCTGTCTCTGAGGAGAGCGCTTCTGGCAGGCATCAGTTGATAAGAGAGAGAGAGAGAGAGAGAGGGTTCGCCCAGCTGACTGAAACTAAAGAGAGACAGAGAGGGGGTAGAGGGAGGCAGCGGTGATGAGGGAGGGGGGGGGTTTAATTTTTCTGACGGCTAGACTTGCGTAACACTCAGCCCTTCTCCATCAGCCCAGCGTCCCTCCTACGCTTCACCTGGAACATTACATGTGGGCGATGCTTAATTGCTCGGCGGTCGTGTAACAACTTAAACAGTTCTTCTGCCTCACTGCATTCACAGATGGAAGGAGGACTGGATTTTATCCTCAGGCTTATGTCTCGTGTCTGTAATGCTCCAGTCACTCAGTAGCCACTGATTTGATGATTTGCAGGTCAGAGGACATCTAGACATTTAGTTAACGATTGATGAGTGAAATGTTTAGTAGATAGTTATACACAGCTGGGGACTAAACAAAACAAATTTAGGAGTTGTTCCACATTAAAGAACAGATATTTAAATACTGTTTTTGCGTAGACATTTAAACATCTTTTGACCTTTGAATAATTAACTGGGCAAAACAAAAGGGCAATAAGCTAACAACTTATATTCTGAGGAGATACTTCAGTCAGAGAAGTCATATAAAACATCATACGTTCTTTGTATTTATGTCCTTTTAAAACGCTATGATTTTTCATATCCAGTTAATGCTGCTGTAGGAAGCCTGTTCAAGGTTACAGCTGAGATGTTGCAGTATCTCTTCTGCCCATGTCTCTTTGCTGCCATCTGCCGGCTGCTGTGGTCATTGCAACGTCCCCACTGGCAGTTTTAATAGTATTTATCATTTCGGTTCAGAGTAAATTGTGTGACTAATTCTCTCCTCTCTTTGTTGTTTACAGCAAGGAGCTGAAGAGTACGAGCCCCGCTTCCCCACAAGGTAAGAACCACTCAACTTTTTGCACTTTTTTTATTTTTATTTTTTGTATTTATAAAAACCAAAATCAGGTTCAAATCATTTCCAGTTCAGTCAGTTCAAGATGAATATCTAAAGTCAAATATGTAAACTGGAATGATGTGCTTCCACTTTGGTTGAATGTAATTGGGAGTGTTAGTGGGTGGGAAGCCAGTGAGGGACTGATGTCATGCACTATTCTTGCTGGGGGAAATGAATTGACTTGAACTTCACCATGTTGAAACACCTGAAGCCACAGAGTTGAGGGATTGGGACGTTTTTTTTTTTGTTTTTTTTTTAAAGTCCAGACCTGCAAACACACACAACCAGCAGGACACACTGCATTCTTTGTTTTATGTTGTTTTTGTGTTCTTTTGTTTGTTTTCTGTTCTTTTATGTTTCCATTCTGTTGTGTTTGCACTCGTTTGATAGGCTAGCATAAGTGATAATATCATATAGTATTTACTGCATAGTGGTTTTGTGTTTGGTCGGCCATGAATGGTAAGTTAAAGGGCCTTTTTTTTTTTTTTTTTTTTTTTAGAAATAATTGTTTTGTTTTTTAATCAGTAAGAAGAGATGATATTTTAAGGCATGTTCTTGATTCATTTTATTTTGTGTTAAGCTTAAGTTGATTTAAGTTTTCTTTTTCCTCATTGATATCGACACACTCGTGCTTTGACCTCCCAGCTCCTCTCCATGCCCCCCATGCACCATGCAGCTCCAGTAGTGCTCCCACCTAATAACTGCACTCACCCACCCAATCCCTAATAAGCTCACCCTGCTTCACCCCACCCCCCCACCCCCCCACCCCCCTCCTCCTCGTTCAAAGTCCAGTTTATGAAAGCCACACCTTGCACCGCGGGGAGCGAAGAGTCAGTTTCAGTTCAGTGGGGTGTGTTTTGTCATGAGGGTAGACGTGGTTTCTGCCTCTCCGTGTGTCCTGGTTGTGTTTGCTGCTGTTTCTCCTGAGCCAGCCCACCTGGAAGCCTCTCCCTCTCTCTGTCCACAGTTCCACAGAGGGCAAATTGATTTCGACAGTGTGAGGACAGACAGACAAACAGGCACAGACTCAGCCTCAGACGATGCGATAGGACAGGCACCTCGCTGCCCCTCAACCAACCCCCTCTCCCCCTTCATCCTCACCCCTTCCTCCCTGCCTCCCTACCTCCTGCTTACGGCAATAAACTCTTTCCCAAGCCCGATCAATGAAAAGAAGAGGCTTGGGTCTATATCTTTTCCCCTCTTTGATTCCCCCTCCCCCCCCACCCCCCTCCCATTTTCCCTCCACTCCTGCCTTGTGCTGTCTAACTGGCCGGTTGCCGCACCGGGCCACTGGTGAAGCCTCGGTGCGCAGCCACGCCGGGCCAAACCAGAACAAAACGGACTCTGTGCCATCCGAATATTTAAAACCAACATGATGGACATTTTCTCTGAGGAAAATGTATCTTTTGCTTGTCTTTCATGCATGTACATTTCTTTTATATATCGCCAGGGGATTATATTTCCCCACCAAAGGAACCTGATTTTCATATATGTCAGTGCTCTCCATCAGAATGACAATGTGAAGGATATGTAAATCAGGGTGAAAAGTTAAAGTTGTTGATCCCAAAGAGGATTTTCATAATGTAAAAAAAAAAAAAAAACATTACAATCAATACTTTTACTGGGTCTTTCAGTATTTAACACTAATTTTACCTTTTCATGCTGTGAGGTTTTGTATTCCTCTGAGATAAGAGGTTATGTATCACGAGTAGTGAACAGCTAATGTAAATGTTTGACCCTCTGGGACGGAGACAATGTGATGGGAATGTTTACTGTACATACGTGTGCCATACAGAAGTGCTTGTCATACAGTATCTATGATCGGTTCATAAAGAAACGCACCTTATAAAAGTAATCATCTATATTTCTGACTTTGTGTGAACAATCTGTAACGTTTTCAGTATCAGCCTTCAAACTTGTTCTCCGACACCTTTACGGAGGGGACACTGTGTTCAGACACACAAACCCCCGGCTCTCGGGGTCCTATGACTATCTATTGTGGTGTGTGAATATCATGCCAAGGCTGAATGGGGTCAACTAACCCTCGTCCCTGACAGACAGACAAGGCTCTGAGTTGGTTTAGTGCTGAAGCTATTAGTTTGTTAATCAATTTGCACAATTTCCAGTCAGTCGACTAAGTTTTTAAGTAATTTACCAGACAAAAATGTCAAATATTTACTGGCTCGAGCTTTTAAATCTGCATTTATTTCTGTTTTATATCATTTTAAAGTGAGTATATTTGGAGTTTTTGACAGTTGGTCGGACAAAAAGATCAAATGGAAGAAAAGTACATATTTTTTGAAAGACTTAACAATAACTCAATTTCGAAAAAACATAATCGGCTGATTAATTGCTAACCCATAGTTGCAGCCCTAGCCAGGTTCATGCATGAAAGAAAAGACAACTGGTACAGCTGTTTGGCTCGGTGCACATCGCTTCTCATTTTATACATTTTTTTCTATATTCGGACATGTTGTGTGGGTTAAACGATTAACGTGAATATATTTTTATGGCAAGGTTAAGCCTCAGAATATGGCCAGCAACAGATTATGCTGATGAACTTCTGGATCCAGATGATCAAATGAGGCGTCAGCAGTATTGTGATAATGAAACAAAGTGAGTGGCGTAACGGCGCCACCTTTTTATCCAGTGTACAGATTTGTGGCTCAGCCTCTCTGCAGCATCGACGGGGAGAGGAGTTCATTTGACGTTGAAACCTCATTCAGCCTTCTTGTACTGTGCTCTTTGCAATTAAAGGCGTGATTTTTAAACCTCCAGTGAGTTAAAAAAGAAAAAAGAAAAAAAAAAAAAAAAAAAAGCATCATGTTTTGACGATAAAAGAAATGTTTGTCTGATTCTCTCTGTGCTTAATAAAGAAGCTGGTCTGCTTGTCTGTATGTCAGTCCAGTTAGTGCCTGTCTATACTAACCACTGTCCCTCTGTTGACATCTGATGTCCACTAACTAGCTCACCAGGAATCGGTCTGTCTCATACTGTCATCTTCTTAATCTTATGCGTTTAAAAAAAAAAAAATAGAGAGAAAATCTCATCCAAGTTCTGTCTGTACCAAAGAGAGGAGGTGAAGATTTAAACTGTGCACCTTTTTCCATTCCTTCTACTCTGCAAAAATGTCTGTCTTTACTAAATATTTCATGTGGTCGAGTGTTTAAAGAGTCTTAAGATATATTTTTTTCTTTTATGTTAGAGAAAAGAAATCTCTGCATCACTTTTTTTCACTTGTTAAGACGAGTCGGGATGGACTTCTTTGCACTGTAGAGATGTTGTCCTTGCTGCATACGTCTGCTGTCTCTCTGCTCTCCCTCTCCCTCTCCCTCTCTCGTTTGTCCGTGACCTAACACTTGTCTTCCCCCTCAGCTTTTGCCAACCGCACCTTTTTTTTTTTTTTTTTTTTCCATCTCTGTTTTGATTAATTTAGAGACAAAAGTCGAGTGCAAACGACTGGAAGCTGCCAGTGTTTCTTCTTTCTCCACTAAAATAAAATCCAAGGTATGACTGCCATCGCTGCAGAGATAGCACACCAATCACCTGTGGCCAAATAACTCCTGCATCAGCTAATGTGCTTTTATTTTTCAGGAGTTTTGTTGTGAAAGAGGGAAAAAAAAAAAATCTGAATACTGTACAGAGACTTTATCTATATGCATGCTTTGGGGGCACCAAGAAGTGTAACATTGATGACCTCAAATGTATGGTGAATTTCTAAGACTAAAGCATAAAATAAATTTATTCAGCTGGACATTTTTGTTGTTTCTGTTCATTTGCTTTTTTTATACAGGTTTTTGTTTTTTTGGGGTTTTTTTTTTGCATTCAATTAGAAATAACTTGAATTTTTCTTTTTTGTTAAATATGTTTTTATTTTATTTGTCTTCAAGGACCAAATGTGATTTCTTCTGCTTTGTTTTTTAGCTTGTAAAACGAATGATGTTTATTTTAGAGCTGCTGGGTAAAAAGCACCACTTAAAGAAACTCTGAACTCTTTAACTTTGATCACCGCATCCTAACAGGGAAAAAAAAAAAAAAAAAAAAAAATCAACCTTCCTTTTCTCATAGCTCACAAAAACGGGGACCGCCCTCTTGCTTTAACACATTAACCAGCGGCTCTTCTTGCACATTTGGTGTCGCTTCTCATGTCGACATTTCTGGAACTGCGACGGTTCCCGTCATAACCTCCCACCACCGGCCTTGTTGCATGACCAGTAGAGTGTGTGTGTGCGCGTGCGTGTGTGTTCAGTGCACAGTCGTATTTTACACTGCATCCTACCCGCCCTGACCTGCCAATGCCATACACCCACTGGCCTGCTCCTCCTGCTGCTAGCACAGGTACCTTTTCTCAACTCAACTGTGTGTATTTGTCTGAATCCCAGCACATTCATTTTTATAGTGTCAGTGTCTGTTTAGTTTTTGTTCACTGTGCTGTGGTTTTTCTGCCTGTCTGTGTGCCTGCCTCTTTTATTTTGGTTCCCTGGGTTCTGATATAAATATATCTGGGTCATAATTTACATGTTACTCTAACAGTTTCTAGAGACCTCAAGTGTTTGTGTTTGTGAATGTATTCATGTAACATTTTAATATCATTATGTTATTACAATCATTTTAGATACATAGAGAATGACCATGAACAAAATGGACCATAATTGAGTTTGACTGGCAGCTTGTACGGGGCCCAACACTGTTTTCTATATTGTGCATCATTGAAGGAATCATCCGATCATTTACTCGGGTAAAAGTCGTGAGACCACAACAGAAAAACACTTAGTAAAAGTAAGTTAAAGTCCTGCATTTGAACTTTAACTTAAGTAAAATTTATACAAGGAAAATGCAACAAAAAATATATATATATATATTGTGCTGTATAAAAGGGCCTTTGTCCAGGCTGTTGACCAGTAAACCGTAAAATATGTACATCGTGTTGTTGCTATCATATAACAACCTTGTATCTCCAGTTATAGGGGGTTTTCCTGCTTAGATAAATTGATTAATTAGATGTTGCTGCCTTTTCTTTTTCCTAAATCCCTTTGGTTAATGTCTGAAATCCATAATATAACAACACTATTGTTAATTTGGGTGTGATAAAGGGTGTTTTCTCTGAGTTCAGCTGATTAGACTCTTATCCAGGTGTCAGTTCACGTTCTGCCGCCAGTTCCTCAAAGTTTCACTCGAGTAATTGAACACAAACAACCAATCTCTGGTCACAGTCGGATCCCCTGTGCAGCATCCTGCTTCAGACAGGAGACCGTGAAGGTTTAAATGGAGGCTCCCAGTCATCTCAGTCATGGTCTCATTTATTTGCACAATGAGTCTTAAAGAGCCCTTTTAATATTGGCAGCTTGTGTTAATAGTAGTTAAATGTACATACTGTATAGTGTCAAACCATGTAAGAACACATAGTATATCATAACTCTACATTGTCATGTATTATATTATAATCTGTCACTTGGTTTTTGAGAAGATCCTGAAATGCTGACACATGGGGACTGTCTTTGCCTTTCAGTACAGGGCCTGATTACGCCCGCTTTTGAGAGACCAAAAAACCCATCGTAAGTGACTGACCTCAGGTCTTCAGGGTCTTGATGCAACCATTTCCTCTTTCCGTTTTTCAGCATCACTAAAAACTGCTTCATCGTCATGTCAGCTGTGGGTGTCATGGTGTGGCTCTTGGGTTATTTCAGTTTTTTTTTTTTTTTTTTGTTGTTTTTTTTAATGTGATGTTCTTACACTCTGACATCATCATCTGACTGTGGGGCATAATACTTGAAATGTGTTGCATCATGCTCAACTTTCCTTCCTCTTTTTTTGCATGACTCATCACTTTTATTTACTTAACTGTATTTTTTTTTTTTTTCCCAACTTCCCTGTTGTCGAAAAAGAGCGGTGTCATCCTGTGCTGTCTTTGACCTTTTCTGCCATTATTTTGAAATTGAACGCATGCTTTCTGTTACGTTTTATCCCAAAAAAAAAAAAAATGAAGCTAGATGTTTTTTTTTGACTGTATTTTTTTTTTTTGTTTACTTTCTCCCAGCAATGATCCACCCATCGAGCCGGCTGTGGAGGCCCCGGCCAAACCGCCCCTTTCTGATGACGAGGACGAAGTGGAGGACGACCAGCTTGATGAAGCTCACTATGACTCCCTGGAGAAGGCCTCGCCTCCCCCGGGGGAATACTGAGCTCTCCCTCAGTTCGGACCAGCTGGAGGTGGATCTCTGGTGCAGCGCTGCACTATCCTCCCCTCGGCTGTAACGCTCTGATTCAGCCGCATTATCACATAGAGCTACGAAATAAATGAAATATGACCAGCGAATGAACTGCGTCACAACGATTCACATTTACAGTAATCTCTATTAGCTGAGAGATAATGTAAATAAAAACTACAACTGATTTCTATTTTGATCTTCTAGCATGGAAAGCACAGTGAAAGGCAAAGCAGTATAAAAATCAGGCTTTGCTCTTGATTGTTTAGTTGTACTTTCGTAGAAGGCACGTGCTCACATTTTGGGGTAATAGTGATGGACAGCAGCAGAGGTTTCGCTTCCAAAACATACAAGGAGAATGTGGTGTGAAGTGAGGAGGATACGTGTAGATGTTCACCTGCCGGGGCTCATTTTCAAAGCCTGAATTATTTGCCTCTTACATTGCGTCACTACCCAGAGACAGACTGCTTCAGGAGACTTCTCAGACCCTGAGAGTCTAGATGGAGTCGGTGATCAGTGTGCTTTTTAAAAAATACAGCTTTCCTGTCCCTGCCTTGTCAGCAAAAGGGCTTTAACGGTAGTAAACTACACATCTCATCAGGTGTTTCACCTTTTAGCCTCACCTGTTAATACTGCCTTCTTAAAGGGCACAAATGTGGTCGTCAAAAGAAAAAAACCTGCGAGAAAACAGAAAAGTCTGTTCTCTGTCTGAACCGAGGCGGATGATGTGAAATACAAGAAGTCAGATGTTTGAGGAAGAAGATGAGGATTAAAAAAAAAAAAGTGTACTGAAACACACCAGAGAGAATAGAATATAGCCAGAAAATCAGCAGTATATGTGGAATAAATTTGTGCTGAGCGATAGCATCAAAACTGATAAGCACACTACTCATAGTACTGTACCTTCAATTAATTGTATACTCACACGAAATCTTATATTCTGTAACATTAGTTATAAGCAGCACTGTAGGTGTTTGTACCTGCAGTAATAATGTACTGTACTGGTTCTCAGATTTCATTGATTCATTTTTTCTTTTTTGATTAATATTGTTTTTAGTGAACAAGCAGTTTGTAAGATCTTGTTAAAGCAACATTTTCGACAGAAATTCTTCAATAACACAATGAACAGGAGAGAAACTTTGCGATTGCATATTGACTGTAATGTGAGAAACAGAGTTGCACTGGTATAGGTCATTATGAGTTAGACTGAGCTGCTAATTGTTTTTTCCTTTATTTGCCCAGGTTTTGAGAGTTTTCTGACTCCACCCCAAAACAGTCAAGGTGTATGGAATTCACTTACAGAGTTACAGATATCTAAAGGTCACATATTTTACACTTTTACAGCGTTTTATTTGAAGTTTTGATCCATAAGAAGATATATAAAAACTATCCCAATGTAGTTTTACATCTCCTCTCTCAGGCCTCTCTCTGGAGCTCTAGTAACAACAGGTCAGTGAGATAATCAGAAGAGAGGCTCAGGCTGACTGTTGTTACATCACAAAGTCACAGAAGTCCTGACAGCTGGTTTTAAGGCTCAGTTTCTGAATACAGGCTGTGTGCATTTCTCTGTGTACAGTATTAATATAGAACCTAGACCTGCTACATAATCAAAGAAGACATGGAGATCTGCCTTTATACTATATGGGACCTTTAATACTATGTGCTGTGAGCATAAATATGTGAAAGATTGAACAACGGTGTGTCTTTCCAATGACATTGTGCCAGTTGTAACAGTTTTCACAGGAACTATTGTACCTTCTAAAGAAAAAAGTAGTCCCTAAATGCTTTGAGCACCACATATGAAATTCCATTCACCATAACTGCTGTGGGAGTGTTGGTAGAAATCAGAACCATGCTGTACATCTCAAAACCTGGATAACTGCCTGCTTTGTTTACTTCAGGTAAGAAAAAAAGAAATCTGTTCTTTCTTGATATGGATGAACATCCTGTTTAATTTTGCCTGTCAATGTGATGGAGGTAAAGATGTAAAACATATGTAGCTATTAAATGTTTGGGTGAGTTCCAATAGTGTAACTTTTGTCCTAAGAGTTTCAGATTCCTGGGACAGGAAACTGAAAGAACTACAAGGTGAATTTTTCCTTTCACAGCTCATTAAAGTAAGACTAAAGTACATTTTTAAAAATGTACAGTGTGATAATAAAAAGTATTTGAACATTTAAAAGTAAGACCTGCAACCTGCTTTGCAGACAAGTGACAGTGTCAAACCTTCAATGAAATGTGCCTTAGTTAAGTTTTCTAAATGTGAAAGAGAATTCACCTCATAACAGTTGGTACTCACATATACAGGATATTTACTTTAAATCTTGTGTGGAGTCAAAGCAGAACTGCACTGGCCTCTATGGGCTGAAAGTATCAAGTCTGTTAACATCAGACCACACCCATCATCAAAGCTGGGTGTGGCCTTGAGTAACTGTGACCACACCCGACCGTGATGTTGTAGAACTATACGTTGTGAAACTGTACTGTAAAAATACCACAGAGCATGCAGCAACCACTAGATGGCAGTGTTCTTAGCCCGGGTTGAAGTAGTGGTGACACTAATGATGTTTTTTCCCCTCACCCTACAGAAGAGATGTAGCATGGCATGATGTACAGTACAACGCTACACCACAGATGTGATGCTGGATATAGTCATAGGCTCAACAGACTTATAACTTTCAACCCCTAGAGGCCACGCAGCTGCGTTTCCTCCTCTCAAAATCTCATGTGGAGATGGTCCTGACTGATAAAACTTATACCGGTGTAACTCTGATGTATGAGGACTGATACAATACAAATGTAACGATTGACACTGACAAAACTGTATCATTATGTGATTTAATGGTAAACACAGTGTCTGTTTTTCAATTTAATTTTGAGAATAAAGAATCAAGTATTTACGCAGTGTGCTGTGTATGTCTTGTATACAGTATACTGCAATGCTGGGAGCACACTTCTGTCTTTAAAAATGGTCACCAATACGCTGCTGTTTTTGTTGGGATGTCCTGAGGTGTCCCAGATGACAATTATTGACTATATAGGAAAAAACAGTTTTTATGACTTATCTTGTCTTTATGCCTAATTGTACTATGTTTTTATACCTTACCTGTGACGTTTTAATGACATACTTTGACGTTTTTTATACTATGACGTTCTTATACCTTACTGTACAATGACGTATATCATTCATTTTCATGACTTCCTATATTAACTCTTGGTGCAGTGGTTATCACTTTTGCCTCGCAACTAGAAGGTTCTGAGTTCTGCCAGTTGGCTGTGGCATACTATGACATTTTATGACTTACTAGACTATGACCTTCTTATGCCTTATCATACTAAGACGTTTTTATGACATACTATACTATGACGTTTTTGCGCTTTACTATACTTTGACGTTTTTATGACTTATTATAGTATGGCATTTCTACGACTCAATATACTATGACGTCTTTATGCCTGATTATCCTATGACGTTTTTACGACCTACTATACTATGATGTATTTATGTCTTATTATACTATGGCGTTTCTACGACTCACTATACTATGACATATTTATGCCATACTTTACTATGACGTTTTTATGACTTATTATACGATGCCATTTCTACGACTTACTATACTGTGATGCACAAAAACACATTTTCCGCATTGAATTTTCTATTTTTCATTTGTAATTCGTTTTCTTTAAATCGCCATGTGTAAATGATTCAAGAGACAAAGTTATACCCACTAAAGGAAAGATCTCAGAGTGAATTCTGCTCTTAAGATGTGTAAAACAGACTTTTATTTATATTTGATAGAAGGTACAGAAAGTAATGATGTGACCAGGTCAGTGTGGGGGCACATATTACTGACAGTATCCCAAACCAAAACTCCTGCCTCCATTTTTTCTTTTTTTTTTTTTTTAAATGATCAGTTCAAGGCCAAAGCTGCTGTCGTGTTCCTCCTCTCTGTCACTACGCCCCTGGACCACAGCACAACATCTCTTTGGCAACAATAAACAGAAGAAATTTTTTTTTTTTTCAAACTTTCCTTCTTTCACAGGTACAGTACATCAATACTCTTAAAAGTATTTTTGTCGAAATACAAAAATATTAACGGACGGTCGTCTAGAGGATCTATGCCGCTAACTGTTACAGAATAATAAAGCCCTGGAAGGCAAACAAACACTCAGAAGACACTACATGTTGATCACAGGGCGTTTTTGAAAGGTGACATCCTGCTTCTTCTTCGGGAGCTGACAGCTCAACACACACCTTTCCTTGTCACCTCCTTTCATTTACACACACACAAAGCAAAGCATTGTAACACTTCATGATCATGACGTCAGCCCGTCTGTGCCTTTCAACCAGCTGATCAGACAAATTAGACTTGACACTAGACACTGAACTGATCTGTCCCTCCTGAAAGCATCATAGCTCAAGTTTTTAAATATTTCATCCAAGCTTTAAATGCTATGAAGTTATTCCCTTATTGTTTTAACCTGGTGCTCAAACTTGTCTTAATAAACCATAGTACAAAACTGCTGCGAACAAGCTCATTGTAGATAATATACAGCGACAGTGTCAGTAACAGTAAAGTCAGGCATTTGTTCTCATTGCTCTTACAAACAGAAAATGGTAGAAATGGGGCTGCAGCTGAGCAATACTGGATGTATAATGTGGTGATTCACATATGCAAAATCATGTTTGTTCAGATTAACCTCTGTGCAGACAGAAGTAGACTTTCACAGCCTTTGAGTACTGTTGGGCATGTTTGTGTTTTGAAATACTGGCCTCTAGGCCCGGGCAATCTTTCAATACATACAGTATGGATGTTTAACAATTACTTACAAAGTTATTACAGGGGTTATTTGTGAGTTTTTTCTGCCACCGAGCGTGGTCTCTTGCCGGGAGCGGGTGGTGGTGAATCTCGCTTAAGAAGAGCTTCAGCCATGGTTGCATTCACAAGACAAGAGGTTATAATGCGGCCCCTGAGCAGCGCTACGTCTTCAGGGCAGATTGGAGGCTACAGTGTGTCGCTCTCGTCAAGTATCGAGATGGGCCGGGGCTAGCTAGTTAGCATGCTAACTTCAGTAGAAGACGTGATAGAGACAAGTGGTGACATTGGTGTTTCCTTCCACCAGCTGTTGGTTAGTAAAGGAATGCTGAACTCATGTTTCTTCTAGACTGGTAAACAGCTGTTGATGCTAATGCTAGCTCTGTAGCAATAGCGAAACTTACAAATAGCTCCTTTAATGTCTGTGATTGTACCAGTCCTTGTGGATATTGTTCCAAATCAACAAGCATTGCTGCTTTGTGGTGATATTGGATTTACAGGAGTTTTGCATCAATGTGATGAAGTAAATTGATTTGTTTGAGAATGTCCTTATTGCAATAGAGAATTACATATACTGTGATGAAAATTTAGTCTATATTGCCCGTGACTATTGGCCCATGTCATTATTAGAGAACTAATGTCTGTGTAGCATCCAGATACTGAATATCTCCTCTTGCTATCAATGTGTTTTGGACCTGCAACATGAAAATGGATTTCCATGACCATATGCTTCTACTCCAAAACAGAAAACAACAGGAAACGTCCCCATTTGTATCTAAGCAATACATCTTTATACTGTTTTCTAGTTACTTGAAACCATGCATTGCAATATCTTTAAACTACTTCCTTCACGTCTTGTTACCGTAGAGACAATGCAGTGCCTGATATACGACAAAGAGGGGTTGGTTGTGATGGTGGTGCTAGCACAGAGAATGAGCCACATATTCATGTAAAACAGTACAGTTGTGATCCTTATACAAAATAAGAAAGAAAAGAAAGTCACAAAATATCAGGTTGTCCAGGTTCGATCAGCTGCTTCCACAAAAAAAAACATTCTGTAACCAGACAGGAGCCATCAAAATTCCCTCTGCTCCCTTCTTTCACACTAACATGTTCTTTGTCTCTGAATAAACCCAAATATTAACATTATATTACTTGTGATACCTCAAGAATTATCATTGATATTCATTAAGACAAGTAAAGCAGTTTCCAAAAAAGTACAAAGTCTGTGGAGCTGTACAGTCTTGTTCAAAGTGCTGATCCTTTGTCTAAAAAGCCAAAAAGTTGACGTTGTCTTTTACTCAGTGATACTTGAACTGTCCTGTTTCTCCAGTCCAGGTGGTTCCACACTCTCATCATTACTCCCTATCATAAATTAAGAAGTGAAAGAGGTGGCAGATGTGATGCTTTCCAGAGGCTCGTCCTTCCATTTTGTCTCTTAAATCTGAAAAATATGCAGAATTCAACACACACGTCCCCCCTGCTTTCATAGATTCTTTACATCATACATAGTATATATTAATATTCTGTAAATGTTTATATATTAACCATACTCTTTTCAGTATTCTAAACAGCTTAGGTCAGTCCTACATCGTGGGTAAGACAGACTTTCTCAAAAGTGTCCACAGGCGATAAGAGGCACTGTCTTGTGTTTCTAAAACCTGACGTTTAAAAATAAATCAGAAGTCATGCTAGTAGGCCAAGTTGTTGTCAAAGAGAGGCAGTAAATATCCACAGCTCGTTACTCTTTCTCCCCGTCCTCGCTGCTTCCTGTAACAGAAACAAACAGGCAGAAAGGATTAATGTTTGCAAGCACTCTGTACAGGCTGTTAGGCATCTTCCTCCTCCAACATGTCTATTGATTTCGGAGGAATTTGGCACTAAAGTGTATTATCTCATTAGTGTGGTATGTTTTACTCTAATTCTGTGGCAATATGTTGTCGCCAACAACGGCATCTTTAAAAGGGCCAGTTTCCCAGACTGGGATTAAGTCTGATACAACAAGTATTTTATTAGTATCATTAGTATATTATATGTTTGTATGTATATATATAAACATACAAACGTATATCTATACATGATTTGGATTAGAGTCTTAAAGTCTTATAGTCTTAAATTAAACCTCAGAGGAGCAAAGTTTAATTTCAATTACTGTTTGTTTATAGATGATATCACTATTTGAAATATTATATATTAATAATTATATAAGAACGAGCATGTTAAATTTTGATGAAAACATTTGTACATGTCCAGAGAAAGAAGCTTCATCTCACTGACTGTTTCACTGTGCCTTTAGGTCAATACTGTGACCAAATGTCATTTAATTGAATTAGTTCACAACTTATACAGATTTAAGACAGCTTTAACTTTTTTTTTGAAAACTCTTTCCATCCCTTAGGTTTGCTATGATACTTAAACGTGATGTGCTTCAGAGTTTTCGTAGCTTTGACAATTGATTAGCAACTCAACTCAACATTATTTATATAACTATTATTATTCATATCAAAGTTTCACTCCAGCTTTGATCTTTAAACCATTTTTTCAAATCTGAATAGCTGTTACAAAATCTGAAATTTGATCTGTATCTCAGTGCCAGAAAACTAGATTTTTTTTCTTTTGATCTGTGTCAGTAAAATCTCATCCCTAATCAAAAAAATTAATTCTGTTGTGAGCACAGATGAACTGTTATCCAGAGGGGACCCACCTCCTGCTGAGTCCATATCAGAGTCAGAGATGTGAGTGATGGAGAAACGGGACACGTTGGAGGGGGAGACGGTGAAGCGGGAGAACTGCACGGCTGGTTTGGCATCTGGGGCCTTGGGGATGGAGTGGGTGGGCGGGGAGTCCGCTGCCGCTGAGGATGTTGGTAGAGGCAGCAGGGGGAAGTCATCCTCCCACTCATACCCTGCACCTGAGAGAAGAGACAGTGAGTACATGGTTTGATATCTGCTCACTAGCCAAGTTTTCCTGATGCTCATACAGGCAGAAACCTCTTCAATTACATTTAAACTAAAAATATATTCTTGTACTTACTCTCCTCTGAGATGTTCCCATCAGAGGAGTCATCTGAGGCATTAACCCTCTCGTGGGATTTGTTCTGTGAATTTTGACCCTCTGCTCCTAAAGGGAAGCCGTGCTCAGCCAGCTCTTTAGTTGGGCTTTCCTAGTGGCAGAGAAGTAAAGTAGAAGAAAGCACCTGTTAGTACAGCATTAAGTGACTCACTTGCCAAGATCTGATGTTAAGTCTGTCTGTTTGGTTTTTGCCACTGGGGGCAGTGTAACATTGATTGTTATTAGTTAGCAACAACTTAGCAAACAGCTAACCGGAGACACGGAGCGTTAACTTTGAGTCATGTGTCTGTTCACTGATAAATCTAAGTTCAATACTGAATCTCCTTTTTGTTTTGTTTTGTTTTTTAAGTAATTTTTTGAAGCCGATGCCTTTATTTGATTGGCTATGTGGAGAGAGACAGGAAATACGGGACAGAGTTGGGGAGAGACGTGTAAAGGCTCCGGCCGGCTGGGAGTCAAGCCGGGAACCCACTGATCGGTTATGAAATCAATGCTGATTATAAACACGGTAGAGTAACATATAACTATAATAGGGAGGGGACACATTGTCTTTGTTCAACTGTATCAACTGTATCAGTGATTTATTACATTCTGTATGACTTTAAATATCAATAAAAAGACCCTTAATAAAAAAAAAAGAGGCTAAAATGCTTCATAGATCTGAAGTATTGGAGATAATTCCAGATTCACCAATTTTGGCACTATGAGCGACCCTTTCATATTACACTATGCCAGATTATAACATATTGAATTAATGTCAGTATAACTATTGATTAACTGGGGTTTAAATCATAGAAAACTAATTTTGATCAATGATTCGTATATTCTCTTTGCTACTCACCTGATCGAACAGATAGACGGTGACGTCGTCAAAGAAAGACACCGTCTTCTTCTTGCGTTCGAGCTCCTCCTCCAGGCTCTCTGCTGTCAGCAGGGTCGGCATCTTCAGGAGGCTGCGCAGTTTGTGTGCTTCGCTGTCGTCGCTCACCACGATGGGCACCGGGTGACACTCATCCTCGCTCTCCTCCCCGCCACTCTGTTCCTGCACGCTGTAGCTCCGCAGCTCCTCGTCCGACTCGTCGCTGTCATCGGTGTCGCCGTCCTCCTCGTCGGCCTCTTCCCCGTCAGCTGGAGATCCTCGGCCCTCCGTCGCAGGGAGCGGAGGGGGAGGGGTGGATGGAGGTGGAGGAGAGGAAGAAGAAAACCGTCTGGTGTTTGCTGTGTGCTGCAAAGCCACCTCGTCTTTGGGTAAAGTGTGCAGGATTTCTCCGGATGTCCCTGATGTCCTGTTTTGAATTGTCTTGATCGCTGGCTCTTCTGTTGCTTCGGAGTCTTTCATGACCTCCGTTTCCTCCTCCACCTCCTCCACCTTGATGTTGGAGGTACAATCTCCATTCAGGGCACCGAGGGCTTCTTCCATGGCCCCCACCACCTCTGCTGCCCAGTCCCCTAGAGATGAGCTCTCCTCTTGGGATGGCCATTCATCCAGTCCTCCCTCTGTTATTGAAGCAGTGTCAGACGGCTCTGGAGGTAGCCCCAACTCCTCATCCTGTCCACACTCTTCTGTCATGTATGCCTCCATCTCTGGTGGAGAAGAGGATTCTGTTCTTCCTGTTAATGTGCGTTTTATGTCTTTGTTCACAGCAGGGTCCTCAAGTTCTTCCTCCTCTTCACTCTTCCTTTTCTCGCCCTTCTTTTCTTCCCTTTGCTGTTCTTTTTCAGCATTTTCTTCATCTCTTACTCTCTCTGACAGTTCTTCCCCTTCATCCCTCGACTGCCTTTCATTCTCATAGTCTGAGAAGTAAGCAGAGTCTCTGTATGGGGTCTCATCACTTAGTGGTGAAAAGATGTAGTCACCTGTCTGTGAGGCCTCTGAGGCCAAATCTTCACCCAGTGATGCTTCACCCTCTGTGGGCACCACTTCAGCCTCGGCTCCCCGCTCCTCCAGCACCTCGTCCTCCTCCAGCCTTGTATCAAGGTGAGGCTTCCCCAGAGGTTGTTCACGCAGTTCATGAGGCTCTTTGGGTACAAACTCAGGGCTCTCATTATTTTCTGTGTCATAGCCGCTGTCCATAGCTTTAGGAGAGCTGGAAGGATGGGAGGATGCAGGGCTGAAGCCTTCACAAGAGCCAGCTGCAGATGGTAGATCCATGGAGTCCATGGAATCAGGAGTTCCTATCTGCTTCTGTAGCGACTTGAAGGCAGGAGAAGCGTTCAGCTCGCTGGACTCGTCGGCGAAGATGCCCGAGGTAACGTCTGTGATGTCGTCTGTGATGTCTTCGTCCTCATCGTCGTCACTGCAGTCGAGGATGTCAGCGAGGCAAACGCTGGAGCTGCCTCTGTCGACACCGCTGTCTCCAGTCTGACTCAGGTCTGACTGTGGATCTGTGAGGACCACCATCACATGCGTGTTGTCAGAAGGAGGCGGAGTGGCTTTAGTCATTGTCAGGGTCACCTCCTCTATTTTAGGCTCTGGTGGTTTTTGCATGATTACATTTTCCTTGATTACATCCTCCCCCTTCTCCTTGAATGGGGTGTCATTAGTTGTAAGGTCAACATACTGCTCTCCACAGTCCTCAGTCTTAATCAAGGTGGGTTTGGGCACAATGGGACCCCCTGGAGCTGGTGACAGATTGATCATCTCCTCATTGCTCGGGATGTCAATGATCTTATCTCTGATGTAGTTGCTGTGACTGTAGCTGTGACTGTAGCTGTTGTTTCTGACTAGCAAGCCGGTGAGTGGGTCAACAAAGTGCGAGTGGCAGCAATCTCCAGATGCTGGCACCTGAGTCTCGCCCTCATGGCACAGGTAGATGTAGGCACTGCAGTTGTCTGAAGGCACCATTGCATGGTGTTTACTCAGACTGAGGCAGGCACTATTGTCTTTGGCCTGGTGGGGCTCAAGATAGTCAATGGGTTTGGGTAGAGAGTGGTAGGCCAGGCTGTGCTCCTCCGGCCAGGAGTCTTCGATGTCTGTACTTGGCATTGTGTAGTGGAAATCTACATAAGCGTCCTGTCTGCAGCTGTGGCTCGCCCGCCTGGGGTGACCCACGCTGCTTTGGCGGTGTTTCGAAGGCCAAGTGTTGCAGGTGTGTCTCTCAACAAAGATGTCCTCTTCTTCCTCCTCTGAATCAGTGTCTCTGTGTCCAATGAAGAGCGCCCCCTCTGTCTCCATGTTGATACTGATAGAGTGGCTGCTGTGCCTGGTGTGGCTGGGCATAGTCTTCCTCAGGGAGCCCATCATGTCGTAGTAGCCCCCGGTTACGTTCTTTCCTATGATGGAGGTCTGACTTGTGTCCAGGTATGTGTCTCTGTAGGCCTGTTGAGGTGGGCTGTTCACAGAGGGGGATATACCGAGCGGGTTCTCCAACTCACCCAAGGCCTGACGCAAGCTCCTTGACCCCCAGCTCTCCTGATGGTGCTCACTAGAGTGTTCACTGCCAATCAGATAGCGATCTATTCCCAAAGGCGGTGAGTGCTCATAGTAGTAACCCCCATCTCTGTCTTTATAGGACACATAGTGACTCGACTCCCAGGGTCGTAGAGGGCTGCTGTCTGACACCTGCCCTAAAAGAGGCTCCATTGTGAGGGAGATCGCAGGACTTGAGTCATTTGAGTCGTACACATCTGACTTATGGATGTCTGCTGACCAATAGGGACCCATGTTCTTAGCCTGGGATGGGCAGGCCATGCACTCACCTGAGTCTGCACTCCCAGTAAGGAAGCTCCCACTGCTGCCCTGATAGTCTGGGCTGTAGGAGCACATGGTATAGTCCAGGTCAATGTTACAATCCACTGGCTCTTCAATGCGGATGTAGTATTCACTGCTTACTGAGGGGCTATGGGCACTGAGGACAGGAAGTACGCCGGGAGCATGTAGATGTTTTGGTTGGTAGTAAGAAGGAGAAACTCCATGGCTGAGGCTCTCCAGAGGGCAGCCTCCCACAATGCCCCCTGGTGGGTAAAATGCTTCCTGACAATGATGGCTGACCTGACCCAGGGTACTAGAGGAGTCTGGGGCTCTGTAGGACTGGTCTGCCCTGGCTTGCTCCCACTTGTACTCAAAGTTCAGGCCATGACTGGTTTCAGTGACTGTTAGTATGTCGTCCCCGGACTCCGAGTGGTAGCCATCACCTGCTGAGAACTGCTCAAGGAGAGGGAACGAAGAGGAGGTTGATGAGGGGTGGTCTCGTGACATTACAGAGGCACCACGGTGGCTGTTGAATCCAGTATTGGGACGCAGGGAGTTCCAGCGCCTCTCAAAGTCCTCCTCTGCCTCACTGGCCCCCTTGGCACACAGGTAGCTGAGCAGCAAGTGGACTTCCTCTGCATTGGGTCTCTGATCAGGCTGGAGCCAGCAGAACTGCATCACCTCATACCTGAAGATCGCAAAAATGAGACAAACAGAAAAACAGACAACAGTCATATATGAAACATATAAAAATTTTAATAAATTGATGAAGTTGTAATAATAGGATTAAAAGAAGAGGCCTGAGGAGAAAAGTTCCCCAGCACAGGAAAGCAAAACCAGCAGGATTAACATAATAATTAGATTCTGCAGAAGAAATGAGAATCCACTCGTGCTGGAAGGTATTTAATTTTGTTGCGCTGAATTTTGTGTTTTGATGTGTTTGTCCTTTTGCTCGGGGACTGTTAAGTAATTTAAAGATGCTTCTATAAGTGAGTGTGTGTGTGTGTGTGTGTGTGTGTGTGTGTGTGTGTGTGTGTCTGTCTCACCAGCGCTCAGCCAGGGGCACTTTGAGCAGCGGCTTGGGCAGTCGCAGCTGCTGCTCCCTCACAGCGTAGGTGAGTACCTGTCTGTCAGAGTAGTGTCTGTAGGGCTGGTTCCCCAGCTCAAACAATTCCCAGATAGTCACACCCAGAGACCTGAGACACAGGATTAAACATAAAACTGTAATCAGAACAAGTATGAATCATTCACAATATGTGCACATACTTATAGTCCTTCAATAGTTATTTTGCGTCCTCAAACTTTTCTCTATCTCATTGACTGCTTGATGACCTCAAATATTACAGTCTTACGTCCCAACAGAGTGAGAGTTTATATATTTTTTGGCCTGTTCTCGCAGTCTGCCCTCTTCTCTTGTAATTTTAGTATCAAGAACTCAACAAAAAATGAAAGGAGTTAAAAACACGTTCCCCCAGGGACAAAAGTCTAATCTATCTTCCATGTTTTGTCATTTACTTGCACATTTAGGGTTTGGCCATTTTCCCTGATATGTGTTTCCCAGGGAACCAACATCAGCCTTTTGGTTGTGACCTTTTATGCACAAAGCATAGATACATGATAATTTAATAGTTTCACTGTGAAATATCTCTGTCTTTCAAAAAGAAGAAAATTACTTTTACAACTTTAATCCTAAAATGTTGAATAAATAACAGCACAGTAGATTATAATAAAGCACAAAATGGCAAAAAGCAATCAACATGCGCTCAGCACACAAAGTATTTTTTCATTTATCCTCTTACACCAGTCTGTGAACACTGAAATATAAAGTAAATTGTTTTTCAACATTTTGACACTATGCTGTATGCTATTGTTTCTAACAACAAACCAAAAGTGCACGCATCTTTGTATTTGCGTGTGTGTGTGTGTGTGTGTGTGTGTGTGTGTGTGTGTGTGTGTTTGATCCTACCAGATGTTGCTCTGTTGGGTCTGGTCGGCCACCAGCAGGTTTCCATGCACCTCATCCACGAGCTCTGGAGCCATCCAGCGCAGCGGCACGTACATCTGATCTGATGTCACATAGTAATCATCCTGATGGGAGGCAAGAGTAAAATGTTAACAGACATTAAATCTCAAGCATTTCCTTGTTAAATTTAATAATCGTGAACAAGTTAAATGAGGGTGGGGAATAAAATAAGCTGTAACATCTGTCGAAATTCACTTGGGTGGAGTAAATGCTAGATTTTTGTAGATGCAAAGCACCTCAGATTTGTATGGATAGTAACTAATTCCCCCGAATACTCTGAACAAATTAAATCATACACTTGTTTATCTTTGCATATATTACTCTGTGCATATTTTTCTGATAAACAGACCTTGTACTTAGTGTGGGACAGGCCATAATCTCCGATCTTCACTGAGACATCAGCAGTCAACAAGCAGTTCCTCAAGGCCAGGTCACTGGTGACAGAGGGGGTAATGGGAGGGGGGGGGCAGCTGTTACATCTCAACATTATTTATAAACATACTAAACAGGACTCAGACACTGCGAGATGGTCGTATTTCTTGAGGCACAAAAATATTTAGAAGCATTGCACACACAAAAACAAAACACAGACGGATTGCGAGATGAAATAATTAATCTTTCAGAGCTGGCCCAGTTCAACACTGCTATCTTTGAGAGCACATTTCGATGTCCTCTCCTTTCTCTGAAAAAAGCAGCTGCAGACTGAATGGAGCTTTGAGTGGTTCTGGAGATGAGGGGTCGCCGCCTGCAACAAAATCACTGATGCTGGAGTCTGTAAGGAGCACTCAGGCAGCACCAGGATATTGTTCCAGGAAGCAACCCAGATCATAGCGTTGTCATTTTAGAGCGTGTGCGATATTTAATGGCAGAAATTGCTCACTACCTGTGTGTGAAGTTGTGCTTGTGCAGGTGCAGGAGTCCTGAGGCGATGTCACAGGCCATCCGCTGGAGGATCAAGGGTTCTGGGGTCATGGTTTCTGCAGTCCTGCAGCTTCGGAGGTAACCCTTCACATCCCCCTGGACGCAGCAGAGAGAAATAAAACATCTGTATGATACATCCTCTGACCATTGGAGGGCAGTGTTGTCATTGTGCTTTGCTTAATGGGAAAAAGACTCATCCACTCCTCGTTCAGTTGCCTTGGTATTAAAATCTGCATGGAAGCCCACCAACTAACAGTCTTGGTGTCCTCAGTTACTTATATACAAGGTATTGTTTTCATTTTGTGAGTGAATTATCTCCTTGGCAGAGCTTTTGTCTTCCTTTATCTTACAGCATATAGAATCTACACTGTTTACAGTAGTTACGTTAAATAATAGTTTGATCCTACAAACAGTAACAGAATTCCCTCCTTAGGCATATCTGAATGTTTTTGGTCATCATGGGTTTGTGCTGCTCGCTGTTGTCAATTTAAAAAATAATCTGAAATTGAATTTTGTCTGTGATCAATATATTTCATCAGCTACCACCAATTTCCGTCACTCACACTGTGCAGTGAATTAAAAATTGACAGCTGTGAAGTGGCAGAAAGCCAGTTCTGAGTTCTTTGATTACTTGAATATCACCACAAGTGTCAGTGTTAAATCTACTGAACTAATCAATCCTGTGGAGCTGATGTTGGATTTTATGCTGCAGTGTGAGTGGTGTTAGTGCAGCGTGATTTACTGGTAACTTTGGGCTCAGCTGCCAAATAATTACAGCAGCTGCCAAGAATGTTTTATTGCCAAAAGTAATTAAGAAAAAAAAATCCAATAAACTACATATAACAAGAGGTTTTCAGGCCATTTAGTGAACTGAGTCAGTCAAGGGATAGAATGCAAACTTTCAGTTAAAAGCAAAGGTCTATAAGATTTGACAGGTCCTTTCACAAACAACATACTTCATATTCAAATACACTTTACGCACCAAATGTGGTACAGCATAATTAAAAAATTTAGCGACCAAGTTGTATTTTATTAAAATATTTAAATCCTGTATAACCTTAATATTTCTTTATACATACTGTGAGCCATTCTCCCCACACACAACCCCTCCCTGTGGGTTTGGATACTCACCAGTGGACAAAACTCCATCACCAGCAGGTATGGAGTGACCTCGGTGCACTGGGCCAAACACTGCAGCAGAGCAGGGTGCTGGAGAGCACTGGAGGAGAGGAGGAGCATGAGATTATAGAAGAGCACACAAAGGACTTCTGTGACAACACAAAAACTCCTAGACACACACATTGACACACAGTATAAACATACTGTATCAATTGTGAAGAATCATACAGTATATTGGCAGTATTTATAGGCTTGGGCGATATCTAAAATTTAATATCTTGATACAATCCAGCCACAAATGTCGTGATGTATGTTATTTTTTATAATATTATATAATTATATAACGTATTTAATGTTTCAGGTATAAGTGATGCTGCCACTAAACAACACTTCAAAGTTTTATTTGTCACATGTCACAGGTCTGTGTTGAATTGCAAAAAAAGGAAAATTGATATTTTGAAAAATATTGCATATAGTGGGAAATATCTTGATATCGAATAATGGCCCAAGCCTAGTATTTAAAATATATTACAAATGATCAAATTTTTATAGACTGATTGCAAAAATACATGAAGTAAATAGCTCAAGGATTGTTACTGCAATGCATAATGCTATGAAAAGGTACAGTTATAGGACACAATGACTGATTACATTACAAAATGATATGCTATGCAAATGAAACAATGAAACATGTTGAGAAAAAATACATTCAAAGACACATTTGTATCTGGAACAGGATTGTTTTTCATTATTGCTGAAGAGCTGGTACTTTTACCCGCCAACGTTTTATCAGCTCATCTATGGAAAGTAAAATTTGCCTTCACAAAGTTACCAGTCACTCCAGCCATTAGATACATTTAGTTGAGTAAAAAGATAAAATACTCCCCCTGCAGAGGAAGAAAAATACAGTTTCACCATCATCTAATCTGACAGTACAGTATTTTAGCAAATGTTTGAGCTACATCTCTGACAAGACAGAAACCTAACCAGAAACCAGGTGATAGAGGTATATATGTACCGGTAAGGCTGGGCTTCCTCAAGGAAGTGCATCTGGTCCTGCACGCTAGAACTGGCTTTCAGTTCCTTCACTACCACCTCAGTGGTATTCAGGCCTGCGTTCACCTCCCCCAGCAGAACCTGAAACAGCACAAGAGACAGACATATATGCATAGGAGAGACAGACAGAGGGACATTTACACACAAACAAACAGGTTACGCGTGGATGGGAGTGACCATTACACAAAGACGGACAAAAAGGCACAAAACAGTCATGCGGGAGTTGAGCGTAGGACACACAAAAATGCAGACAAACAGATACATATGGACATACCCAGTCAAGGCACACAAGGATGGAAAGGACGGATGTATATTCATGAGCGAAGGGTATGAAAAGGAGGAGAAGCAGACAAAGAAACAGAGAGACGGAGAGAACGAGAGAGAGAGTGACAACAACATGTTATCTGGTTGTAAAAACACGACACCACCACATGGTTCAGCCTGCAGCAGAGGGCTATTACTTTGAAAATTTTACCAGCGTAAAATTTGTTCTCAAGGGCTAAGTCTATCACACCTGGGACAAGCTGACATCAAAGGCACGAGGATCAGCTCGGCATTACACACTCAGACATTGCAGATAACACAGTGTGTCGGGACATTTTAAACCGAGCTCGTTCTAAACACGGCCGGGATCACAGCAAAAAATAACAGCCGTGATGTTAGACTCGCTGATGCCCCGTTTCATCTACCTGGCAGGTAGCTGCAGGGACAGCAGGAGTGACTGTTAAAACCACCAGCAGGTAGTAATGAAGACCGAGGCGTCTGATGTGGCTTACCTTCCCGAACCAGCCATTCCCGATCTCTTTCAGGTAGAGGAGACTGTGGCGGCTGAGATCTGTGGATTTCAGGAGTTGGACTGGAGGAGAGGAAGAGAGAGGAAGACGTGTTACAGTGATGGATGACCCCCCACCAGCAGCATCCTGATGGGGTCTTACAGCTGTGCTCTCTGACAAAACCTGTGGTTTTTCATGCTTTAGCCCATTTACTACAAATCACATCATCTTACATTTAAAGCCAATCTGAAGACCACACTAATGCGTTACACAAATGCGTATGTATTTGTCAAACCACCACAGGCAGCCGTTGGTCTGCAGTCATATCTGTATAGACTCTTGAACTTGCTTGAGTTGATTTATCTCAGCTTATCAAATATTGTCTTAATTTTGATGTAAGTGATGTAATGACATGTTGATAAAATAATTCTGCATTTAAGTTGTATTATCACAATAATGTATGACAAGTATTAATATTTGTTTGATGTTCAGCCTGATGGAATACATAACTTAAACAAGACAAGTTAAATTCAATTGTACTTACTGCATAGCGCTTTTATAGTCTTTATAGTCTCAACCACTCAAAGGGCTTTACAATACTCACACATTTACCCATTCACACACACATTCATACATCACATCGATACACACTCAAACACTGACGGAACAGCCATCAGGAGCTATTTAGGGTTCAGTATCTTGCCCAAGGACACTTCGACATACAGACTGGAAGAGCCAGCGATCGAACCATCAACCGTCTGATTAGTGGACAACACATCCTACCTCCCCAAATGTTCTTATTGTTCTTCGTGGGCTGGAACCTATACTAACCCTCCTCCTTTCTAAAAACTAATTCATCTTTTAGTTAGTTATGATCAGTGAACTCACTTTTCATTCCCTCACCACTTTAAGTCATAGTACATGAGTAAGTTCTGAAATCATTCTGAGAATAACTAAAACTTAACATCAAATGGATGAACATATGTACTGATCTTAAGTTGCGTTGATTTCACTCATTTTGAATATAATGTTGGGACGTATTGTTGAGATTGAGATTATACACACAGGCACAATTATACCTGAAAACACCTAAAAGAAATACAGTATGTCCTCAATTATAACAATAATAATGATATATGTAGATAAAACTCATGACAGTAACTTGACAGAACGCACCACATCCAGGTTCTTAAGTGGCCACTGTAGAATCCATCTAGAATCTTCTGTCCAATCGATTGTCATCAACTTTCTCCAAAATGAAATATCTGAACACACCAGTGGACGATGTCCATGGTCCACGAGTTAACAGAACAGACTCCAGTCTTCAGTCTAATTCTATATGGAGCCTTCTCTGGCACCGACCTGTCTGACTGTCCTCCAACTCCCTGATGCATCTCTCTCAGCATCCCCTGAGTCTCTCCTGCCTGCCGAACACGCCCGACTGTACTGCCCTAGCTCAGCCAAATGAAACGGGATTGACAGCAACACCCCCCCCCCCCCCCCCCATCTCTCACCCCTCACCATCTATCCCTTTCTTTCTTTCTTTCTTTCTTTCTTTTCTTTCTGCATCTCCCACGATGACAGTTAGATTCTGGGTGTAGAGGCAGACAGACAGATCTTTGTGGTGCTGCGTCCCCCCCTCCCCGCTCCTCCAGACTGCCACACAGTCCAGTCACTGTGTGGAGGCCATATTGGACACCCCCGTCTCCTTCCCCAGACTGGTCATTCCTTACACCCACTCACGCTCTCTCCATCCCAAAGCAGAATACTCACCATTGTCTGGCTGCTTAGGGCAGCATGGTACCAGTTAGGACTAGTTAGTACGCACACACTGGGGCTATTATCCACCAGCTCCTTGACATAGGAATGAACTGAGTTTTGGCGATAACAGCGGCATGCAATGGGTCCCACCTACACCATCATGTTAACCTCAAATATTCATAACGCTGGTGGAACAATGAGGGGAGGATGATACATGCTGGGCGAAAAAAGACTGTACTATAATATTTGTAATCTCTGCCAATGTATGAATGCTGTAATAACGGGCAAATGTTCACTCACTCAGAGCTTTCTAATTCTTATTTCTTTTTTCTTTTTTTCCAAACTGAAAACACCCCGACTACCCTGCTAAGTTCTCAGATCTCTTTACAGCCAATACACTAACTCAATTTCCATTTGACAGCGCTGTCTGGCCTTCTCTAAGCCTGTGTGCTGCTGAGCATCTCTCTGAAGAATGCATCTAGCTTAACCGCTATAGGAGCCAGCCTTTAGCGAGACGCGCAGCAGCTAAATCACTCAGAGCCAAATGGAATTCCCATCATCCTCTTTCACTCCAGTGAATCCTGGTCCACTCTCAGCTGATCGAGGTGCTGAGCTGCCGCCGTGTCCTTGGACAATCATTTCAATTCACTTATGACATTTTGCCCGTTGTTGTTTCATAACTAACGTGGTGAGGATTTAGAGGTCGAAGTTCGCAAGTAATTCTGCAGATCCGATAAGTGTATGTCAGCAGGATGCATCTAATACATGCATCTGTGGGAGTGGGAGGAAATTTCAGAGTGAGTGTGTGTGTGTGTGTGTGTGTGTGTGTGTGTGTGTGTGTGTGTGTGTGTGTGTGAGAGTGTGTGTGTGAGAACATAAGAGCTGGACTTGTTTTTGCTCAGTGTGTGTTTTCACATGTCTCCTCTGGGTGGGTGTGAGGTCCATTAGTCTTTGCAGAGCAGCACTGCAGCAGAGAACAGCTGCATCAGGGTGGATCCTGGGGACCGGGGCCCCAGTCTGAGCCAAGCTCTTACATTACTGGTGTCTCATTAGGAACTCCACCTATATCCACATAGTCCTTCAACAGCCCCCAGTGCTCAGCAAGACGACAGAGGAGATGGGAACATTGGCTGAGAGAAAGCAGACTTACTCATAGCTGTAAAGTGCTTCATCTCCACATCTACCTCAGCTCTCAGGAATTATTAGATTCAAGATCTGAGACCTACCCTGTGTTAAAAGCAACCTGAGGACCTTTTCATGTTGGCACTCATCATTTTTTTATCTTAATAATTACTGTTCCTACAGTATGTGTTCATTTTCTCTGCCTCGTGGCTGTTTTAGAGTGTCTGCTCTTCTCTATCTTCTGTCCTTTCCTTCACTCTGTTGCCGTATGTTTAGCTTTTTAGTTTTAATATTTTATCAGCATGCACAGCGCTTTGAACTGCTTTTGTATGGAGTGGTGCTGTACAAATGAACCTGAGCTGGAAAGGATGCAGGAAAACAAGACGAGAAACTGGCAGCAAACAAAGATGTAGAAAAATGAGGACACAGTTACGACCAGTAAAGTGAGATGAATACGCAATTTCTCCGAAAAACTTATTTCCCCTGCTGATGTCACTGGGCGAGGCTCTCCTGAAGGTGCAGTCATAAATCCCTGACCTCTAACACTGCTTTAATGGTTTCAATTATTCACAGAAGACCGAGCATATGTTTAAAGGGTCGGCTCAGCCATGTCGCAGACAATGGTGGGAAAATAGTTTCACTTACCCCAAATGGTATTTAGCTATGCAGATAGTTTTAACTTTAATAGCTGAGGTTTGGAGTTATCTGCCTCTGAAAATGTTCCTACCAGGAACTGCAGCGTTTCTCTGGTTTTCTCTGGTTTTGGTTTTCAATGAACTACAAATGAAATCCCATTAACCTTCCTTGTATTGACATGTCGTCAGAGACCTCATTTGTCAAAGCCTATCTGCATGGCTACATACCACTAGGAGTATCCAACTCTTATCTTTTGGTCCTTAATACACTGCCTGTTTGAGGAGTGTGGGTAAAACCGTGTGGATGTATAACAAATGTTCACATTTACATCTGAGTTTTGATATGGACATTCGTTATACATCCACACGTGGGCATGAGACTTAATGTGTGGGCATGACGCATTAAGTCTCAACACACTCCTGCAACAAGCTTATCAGGCAGCATCAGCCCATTGACACACAACAAGGACCATTGTCACACAGTAGCAGAAGGAGAGAAAGAAGGCGACAGAGTGAAAGAGGAATATTCTCACTGGGGTTTTGTGCTCTCGCATGCCTGACATACCAACATGCAGCAGTGTAGGCCGGCTGCCTGGACATTATTATGCAACAGGCAGATGTTTGTGGGAGAGAGTGAAAGTTAAAGAGCACAGAGTTCATTCTGCAGGGAAGCTGCAGTGAGGGATTGTGGGATAGGTGGAGGCCCAGCTGGCCGAGGCCAGTGTCAGGGCGGTGCTCACTCCAGGGACAAACTTTTGACTAATGCCAGATACACGGCCCTCATCGCCGTTATATTACTCTCACACCCTTGAAATGCACTTGCATGTGTATGGCTTGGGGACTTTTACAAAGCTCTTGCAAGGGTTGGATCAGTTTGCAGCAAAGGACAAGAGACATGAATCACAAAGCACCGGCAAAACCGTCACAAATGATGTCATGATTGGACCCAGAATTCATCTTATATCTTATCCCGTTTGACAGAAGGGAGAGGTGTAAATCTTTTTAAATGCAGTGTGTGGATTTCATAGGTTTAGTTAGTGAGAGGACCAAGTTTAACCCCTTAAACACTTCTTTAAAACTCTAGATTCTGTGTTTCTGATGGAGCCACTCAAGGATACAGCTGAAGAGTAAGTGAACGCTCACCCACCAGATCGAGCAGGTTGCTTGGCGACCGGCAGGGACACCTCGGTGAGCGGCAGGATGTAGACGTCCAGGCTGCCCTGGGAGGCCGGCGAGGCCAAGGTGGACATATCTGCATGATACTCCTCCCCGTCCACATTCTTGAATTCCTGGAACACATGCAAAGCACAAAAAAATTAACAAGTCAAAGGTCGCAAAAAAGAACAGGTTGCATTCATTAGACCAGCAGCTGGTTGGGTAACCGGTAAACAGCTTCTTTACTTGTAAGGTCAAAGACGTGAGGACATGATGCAAAAGTGGAAAAAATAACCTCACAAACATGCCCTGATATGCATTTGTAGACCATATGATGGGTCCAAATCTGCTCTGTGTGATATTTAATATTTGACAGCATCAGCGTATGTACATTTATATATATATATATATGTACACACAAGGCAAAAGACAACGTTACACAAAAACACAGGCAAAAATAGATGATATTTTGGCTGGAGCACCGAAGCAGCTCTGACATAAACTGAAGCAAGCTGTCCTGGCCTGGCTCACTGTTTTTTTGAGCTTTGTGAGACTGCTGGAACATCCCAGTGTAAACAAAGCCAGTCTGATTTACCCAAAGATTATTTGTACCAAGATTACATGTATCTCAATCTTCTGCTTCACAATTAAGCCTGATGATTTTAGTGTTGAGATACTTTCTGAGCACAAAGTGGAGTTTCTGTGACTCACTCACTGAATGTTTTGTTGAAAATATTTGGTCACGTATTTTTTTTTCCAATCCAAATTGACCGCATTCATAAAATAATAAAGAAAGTGAAAAGAACTTCTGTGCCTTTTTACTGCACTTCTATAAAATGCCCTCTGATCCAGCGTTAAACCGCACAGGCCCCAAATGGCACCAGACAGAGGTGTGATCAATAAATCTTCACAACTCTGTTTGGATAAAAGAGATTAGTGCTTGATTTCACTCACATCACTGACAATAGAACTCCATTAATATGTATTACACTTAAAACTAACTCTGGACAAAACAGATGAGCATCTGCTTTGGAATTAATTACCAAGAAGTGGCTGCAGATGTGTCCACACCCGTCAGATGAATTTCAACATATGGACAAAGTAACACGCAATCAAAGAGGAAACATTTGTTTCTCAGTTTTCCAGGTTAGCATGTGACACTGAGGCCTGGGTGGATGAACAGTGAGGAGTCCTGAAAGAATCCTTATGTCTGCTGATCGTACTGATCGCAGGATAAGAGGACGAAGAGGGGAGGGAGTTGGCCGCATCCACAGACCGGATGTCAGAATAAAAGTCTCTTAGTTTGGAGCTGGAGAGCAGCAGGGTCGCAATGCTGGAAAAATGTGACCTGCTGCAGCCCTCTGCAACACCCACCCACACACGCACGCACGCACGCACGCACGCACGCACACACAAACAAGCACCTCAATTTCTCACTTCATCCTGTCCCCCAAGAATGAATGCACGCTCATGCAGGCTGCACACCCTCCCACAGCCTCACATCCAAATCTTCACACGGTCCTGCTCGCCCTTCCCATTCAACATGTGGTTTCACTCTTCACATAGACACACACACTGTCACAAACACATACACACAATTACTGATAAGAAAAATATATCTCTAACTTTTCATAAATCCTGCAGTAAAATAGTATCCAAACAAGGGCTGCAAATAGTGAATCTTTTTTTCAAATAATCTTTCAATCCTTTACTCAAGAAAAAATGTGAACAAATGCAAGAAGAACTGCCCATTACAATCTGCTAGAATACAAAGTGACATCCTTAAATGACTTGTTTTGTGCAACAGTCCAAAACTCAAAGATTTTAGGATACACAAAGTACAAAAAAGCAGAAAAACATCAACTTTGACAAGTTAAAACCAGAGAATGTTGGCATATTGTGCTAACAAACATTCTTTGTTGATGAATTTTCAGTCAATCTACTGATTATTCAATTATCTAAACTCATCAGGACAGAGTAAATCAATTAAAAACAAAGCGGAATGTGTTCATACTTTTCTTCTCTCATAGAAATCTGCTTAAAACACAAATGAATAGGAAATCACATGATTTCATTCTTAAGTTTTCCATCAAACATCCTAAAATCTGCAAGATCAACATTTGCTTTGTCCTTTTAATCCCTCTTTCCATTTAAAGACTCCTGCTGGTAAAACAATCAGCTCAGCTCCGCAGTGTCCCTGCTGGCTTACCTTTCCTCAGAGTCCATAGGTGAGGATGTCAACTGGTCTCGGCTTTGGTTACAGCATCTCAAAGTCTTTCTGCCTTTCTCTCTCACACACACACACAAATATACAACTCCACACACTCATTGGCCTCCCAGGGCTCCCATTGGTGTGATGGGTGCAGGGCAGCAGCAGGAGGTTGGTGGTGCCAGGGAGAGCGGCTGCAGAAAAAGGCATCATCACTGTGCAGAGAGAGCCTCATTGTTGAGTTTAGAGAGGAGGAAGATGAGGAAGAGGAAGAGGCTTTGTAGCTGACCACTGACTCTCCCTGGGACTGCTGAGGATGGAGGGATGGAGGGAGAGAAAATGAAAAGGTGGGGGGGGCCAGTATCTCTGGCTGTCTCATGAGGGAGAGAGAAACTGAGCCCCCGCAAAAATGTGAGAGAGAAAAATACAAGGGGGAAGAGGGGGGAGGAAGAGGGGTGGTGGGGGTTCACATACTATACTTGTGACATCACTTTCTCTTCCACGCTCTTTTCCTCTTTTTCTCTCTCTCTCCCAAAAGCTGAAGAACATCTGCAGGGCAGTCCCCATCCCCACACCTATTTTTTGTCAACACTATAGTTTTGAGGACCGCCCACTGAGAGCTTCACTTCCTGACCTCTGAACCTGACCTTCAACCTCAATTTGACCCAAGTCTCATCCATTTAATTTAATCCTTATAAATAAAAGCCCCTTAAGCCTTTCACTTTAAATTTGTGGGTGAGTGACAAAAATAATGTCAGCCCAAATGTTGCTTTAGTGCTTCAGGCTGCTATTGTATCCATGATTAAGGGTTTTAATAACATGATTCAAGGTTTAAGTCCATTATCCCTGAATCCTACAAATTAAAAGACTTTTGAGGCACTGACATTAGAGGGGTGAGTGTCTAGATTATGGGGATGGCTGGGGCAATTTACATTATTCAAAGAATGATTGTGCTTTATATCTATATGGTAAATTCTGCTCTAATTCAGCTCAATTGTGGTTGATCCTAAATTTTAATTTGGCTCTTTTGGCAGTTTCATGTTTTTGGCAAAGATGTAATTATTTACGTATTTGTGTGTTTTTCCTTACAGGAATAGTTTGACATTTTGGGAAATATATTTATTTGCTGTTTTGTTGAGATTGATGGTGCTCTCAGGCATGCTAAATATGAAGCTACAGCTAGTAGCCAGTTAGCTTAGCTGGTTAGCATGATTAGTCTGACACTGTCCAAACTGTCGAAAGTGTTGGAGCTCGCTACTTAAATTAGCTATTTTTAAGCTTTGCTATTGCTACATAGCCAACGTTAGCATAAGCAGTTGTGTACTTACGAGTCTAGCCGAGAGCTTCAGCCTTATTTGTGTTTGCCTCTGAGAAGCGGCTACTTCTTGAGGGCACACTCGACGGCTAGGTGGTTAGAATGCTAACTTTCATTAAATAAATAAGGAGTTCGGTGAGGCTGCAGTCTGGAGCTTTACCGGAAGAGGTCACCTCTCGTCTCATGCCCTCTTGTCTCATGCTCTCTTGTCTCATGCTCTCGTCTCATGCCTGGACAGAGATAAATAAAGAAGCAAGACAAATGGGTCGTTTTCCATCACTGGAAACAGCTCTCGGCGAGTAAAGTAATTGAGTTCGATGCTGAACTTGCAACGTTTTTCTAGACTGGTAATTAAACAGCTGCTAATGCTAACGTTGGCTATGTAGCCATAACAAAACCTACAGATAGCTCTTTGAATACGTTAAATCTCGTGTGTTTATCCATACAGAAGCTTACGTGTAAAAATGACAAACTGAATTAACATTTCTTGTCCAGATATAGGAAACATAAATCTTCTCATCTCCTGTCAAGAAAATTCTGCAGATTTCCCAAAATTTAGAACTTTTGAACTGAGACAAGCTTTTGCACTTATTTCTACATTTTTACATGATATTAGCAATGAGTCATTTTTAAGAACATATCAGAAAAGTTTCTCACTAAAAGAGATTTAAGTTTGAGTCCAAAGCCTTAACTAACCCCTCACAGCAGTGAGAACCACTGGAGGAAGTTCCTCATCTTTCTGTGATTGTTTGTAAAACAGACATCTTTTCTCTCTTGTCTCCTCTTGAAGTTTTTTTTTTTACATTTCCCCCCCTGAAATTCCCTCTTCCTGCTCTGGGAGAGGCTGTGTCTAATTCCAGATGGGGCCCAGAGGCCGGATGCACTGTGGGCTCATGGGTTTGCCCTTCCTCACGCCCTAGCGCCCTCTCTCTTCCCCCTCCTCCCACCCTGGCCCCTAACTTAGACACACCCTGACAGGTCCGACCTGGGTGGTCCACTCTGCCACAGACACAAACCAGACACGGGGCACATCACACACACAGTATGTATATGATAAATGTCAATTTCTTGGATGCAGCTTAACAACAAGACACTCAAGATGCACATTCATAAACACATACAGTTTTCAAGAGGGAACAGGATGTTATGTAATATGGCTCCTGTGATCAGTGCAGCTCTGTGTTTCTGAAGACACATTAAGAACGGAGAGGAAATGAAAAAAAAAGGACAGAAGGCTGAGGGTGCAAAGAGAGTGAACAGGGAAGATGGAGATGTGCCCAGAGGCAAATTAACGCCATTATTAAAACAATCTTACACGTCCCTGACTCTGATAGAACAGTCCTCCGACAGGCTTAATCACATGGTTCTCTCCACAGTGTTGTACTGGCAAAATGTTTCTGCAGCTTCATCTGAAGCGACTTGAATTATGTTAATTGCTTACATAATGTTGCGACACAGATTCATAAGTTGAGGAATAAATTATGTTTTTCTCACAGTTTTGAGTTTCCAGTGCCATGCAGGAATATGAATCACAGCACAGACATCTTGTGGAGGAAGAACAGCAAAGGATAATTTTAGTCTTGATTAATGTATCAATTGTTTTTATAATCCCTCAATAATTCACTTGTTATTATAAGTTTCCAGAGCCCAAGGTCTTTTCTAATTGTCTTATCTTCTCAAACAAGGGTCCAAAACCAAATGATAATCAATTAACAATTATTTAAAACAAAAAAACATCTGAGAAGCTGGAAACAGGATATTTGGTCCATACTGAAATGAAGAACTATTGGATAGCCAAATAAATTTTGTGCATAGATTCACAGTCCCCAGAGGAAGAAGCGTAATAAAGATGCTGTTCCATTATATTTTAGTGCCTCATTAGAGTGTGAAATACTGCATGTTGTATTATGTGTTGTGTTTGTGATGAGATTTTGACCACTAGCTGCTGAGGAGCAGTGTTTTGCTGAGCAGGTCGCCATTTTGTTTGTCTCATGGGCAAAATGGACAAAAACATGCATGATTCCCATTCCAGTGGAGGGTTGTAAAGTAAATGTAAAGTGATGACATCACTCAGTCTAAGGGTTATTCGACAGCTGCTTATGTACCAGGAGACATCGGACAGCAAAAGTCAGGGAAGAAGAACTGCATACATGAAATGTATTAATCACCTTTAGAGACTTGGGAGACTTTACATTAAATGTAAATATAACAATATTTGTTAACAAGAAAACTCCACAAGGTGCAGGAAAGCACAGCACAGCACATACAGTCACATTTTTGTATTTATATGCACTATCCCACCATTCCTTTAACACACACACACACACACACACACACACACACTCTTTCTTGTTCCCTGTCCTATTTTCTTCGGCGCCATGACCCATTTCGCGTGCTGCTCAGAAATGGGGTCCTGGTGATGGTCCTGAAAAGCTGCAGGCCTCCCACCGCTCCATAAACACAGCCTCCACCACCTTTGTCTGCTATTCTGTTTACTTCCCATAAACATTCTCTAAATATAAATGGATGAAGACCTTCCGTCATGAATATAATGGACGTCTGGTGAGAGGAGCGGGGAATGTTCTGTGTTCAGGCCATTTGCAGCAACGCTCACAGGCACAGAGAGTTAGAGTTCACATCTTTATGCAAGACTTGATATGATTTAATGAGTCTGTGTGTGTGTATGAGGGTGCAGAGGTGTGCCAGTTTGTCCTCATGCCTCATATTATTTTCATATCATTTCATGTGGAAGTTGATGAGACATGATGTTCAGAACATCAACGCGCTGACCCTCACCTTAAAGCCGATTTTGCCCTTCTTGCAGCAGAGGCAGGCCAGCATGAGGAAGACGAAGGTGAAGAGGCCTGAGAAGGAGATGGCCACCACAGCCAGGGACGACGACCAGGACAGCTCACTCAGCGGAGCGCCATCTGCAGGACAGAGCATAAGAATCTGGTATGAGACTCTCTATTGTTTTTGTGAAGAACAAACATGTGATCTAATGCATATTCAAGTGTGTAGGACATAAAAGAGCAATTAGAGTACAACAATAAAGGGAAGTGTTCCGTTGCATCATTTCTAATGAAATATAGAGTGGCTTATGAACTTACTCTCCTCAGGAGGGCTTATATTTCCACTTAGAGACATTTACATGTTTGATTTATGGCTTGGCGTCATGTTTTTGCTCAGAGTGAAATGCTCTGGAACATTATAACCCTGTACGCTTCATCCAGTACACAATGAACCATGTTACACCTGTGCACTGAAGACCAGGCTAAAAATGCATGTGTGTCACCTGGCAACAAGTACAGCTCTTTTGCACTAATTTGCTTTTTTTTTTTTTTTTTTTTTTTTTTTAATCAAATGTTCATATATACTGTAAGAGAAACATTGCAGCTCATGTCTTTAAGCAAGATTTTCTGCAAAACAAGAAATTTGTGTGCTTTAATTAAAAGTGAGATGCCAAGTATAATGATGATGCAATATTTATATCAGTTTATTCCACTTTTACACTCTACTAGTTTCTCCTCTGAGGCCCAACAGAGTGGATGAGATATTTTTATTTCAGGCTCTGGTCTCTCTCTCTCTCTGCCCCTCTGAGCCTCATTCTGTATCACTGAAGCCAATTTTCAGAGCTTGATGGTTTGAATTATCCTCAATGTGTGCCGCCCGCGTGTGTGCTGTCCAATATCGTAAATAATATCTTGTTCCCAATTTTGGGGGCATTTTTGAGCAGCGGATGATTTATTTTTCTCACTCTGTGATGGCTTCCGAAATGCAACGGTTACCAGGGAAACAGATTGGACGGACAGCCGTGCAGGATTGCCTTCAGCTGTAAATCTTTCACACCGACTCCTGCCAACAGCAGTGCCACCCAGCTTTTACACACACACACACACGCACATACACACACACACACACACACACACACACACACATAAATAATAAACAGAGCACAGAGAGTCATTTCTGCTGCCAGTTTGTGCTGATCCTCTGAAAGCTGCTGCAACTGGCTCTCAGTGAGTATGAGGCTCTTAGTATAATTTGACAGAGAGAGCGAACGCTGTTGTTTAGGAGGCCGGCAGACTGTAGGAAGAGAGGAAATTATAAGAAAAAAACAAAAAAACATGCAATTTTAACAGTTAAATGCAGGATTAGCTGGTCAGCTCAGGGGGTTTTGGAATGCAGAGTCCTAATCTGAATTTGACTGATTTCTTCACTAAAAATATGCTAAATTAAACCAGCAGTCCTGTTACACTGTCCATAGAAAGTGCAATATGATGCCACATGCATCAGAGTGGGAGGAAGAGGTGGAAAAAGCCAGCTTGCTAAATCAGTCAATAACCATTTAGTGCTTCGAAATGCTAGACAAGAAATTCAGATTTAATTACTCTTTATTTGTCAAGGGGGTAATTACAGAGAGCAGAGACATTATTCTAGTTCTGTTGTGGTTTATTTAAAGCCCCCTCACTTACAAATCCCATCTCCCCCAGCAGCACAAATAGGAGACCGTGACTGGGGAGGCAGCCCAGCATTAATATTTGAGAAACACGCTACAGTCCACATGCAGGCGAACAGAAAACACTGCATTTAAGTACATGTACTTGTACATTGTTATTAAAATGCTACATCCCTAAAAACACCACTGTTAAGTTTGCTCTCAAACAAACCTCTTACCCCAAAACTAAGTGATCACAAAATTGTAATTTTGGATTTATATAATAATTATGGTGATAATGATTATTTTAAGAGAATAATTGAGCTTGTTTTTTAAAGATTAACAGTAAATCTTCAGTAGGAACCAATTTCAGAAAATATTGAGACAGACGTTTACAGACATTAAAACATTTTGAAACCTATTGATTAAGTTTGTCCAACAGAGACAAGCAAGGTAAGGCTAATCTATTTGTATAGCAACTTTTAATAACAAGGTAATTCAAAATGTGCTTTAAAATAGAACTGAGGTAAGGTAGCTCTGTTCCACTTGAATCCTCTAAGTGAGTCAAAGCAGGTGGAGGAAGCAAGATGAGAGAAATCTGGATGAGAAAGACAGAATTCTTATCTAATCTCATGCTTGAGCTCTTTTCCAGTAGAGTACCCACAGAGGTTGTGTAGGCAGGTATAGAAAAAGCTTAGCGTAGCTTAGAACAGCAGTTAGTAAATTGGCTGGCGGAGGAGGGGAAAGAAGGAAAGTGTAAGATTATTGAAATATATTGGTGCAGTCATGTGATGCTGCCCTATAGGGCTGACCAAGATTTTGCCAGTCAGCAACTGTGGCCTACAACTAAAATGCCATTTAGGTAATACTGTCTTTGTAACTGGGTGAGATGAGTTGGACTCCCACAGAAACACACAAAAATACCTTGTTGTTGTGTTTCCTTCCCTAGCTGTGTGAAATCAATAACATTGACTGCTAATCTCAATGAAATAGAGAGGATTTACCCTCTTGTTAGCCATAATGAGCCTGGATCCAAAGAGACAAATGTGTTCTGCTAAAGGTCGTTTAGCTCCCAAGGACAATTCCCCCCTGAGAGCTTCATTAAGGACATGCAACAACACAGAATGTGTAAGGCTCAGAAAAACAGATGGACTGACATTTTCTGAGCTGCTGCTTTATTTCTCTCTTTTTACTACTTGATGCTAGCAGCATGAGTACCATATAGCTCTCAGCTACTCAGAGGTGGTAGCCATTTTTAGCCTCCCGAGGCAGAGAGCTGAAGCACATCCTGATGACTAAATGATGAAAAGGGAGCGAGCGTCAGAAGACGAGAGGAGAGAAGAAAGGATCTGAGGAAGGAGAAGAGGTTGAAGAGCTATGTACTCTGCAGCGTCTGCCCCAGGAGAATCTCCTCAGCACACAACACAGAAACTCGGCGAGCTGAAGAGCAGCAACTTGAAGTCTACCCGAGAGCAGACAGAGCCAGAGACTGCAGTGGGTTATGAAAAAGACTGAGTCTATCTGACAGTCTCACGTGTTTGTTCTGCCTCTACACTGATGGAGCTGGCTGAAAAGTCACTAAGGGTGTTTTTGCCCCTTGATGATTAAGCCGCAGCATATCTGTGAACACATTTGGAGATTATATACTCAAATTCTCATGCAGTATGACACATGTCCACAGCCTTATAGCACACCAGTTGGTCTGTAGGTTGAATTAGACTGAAGTGGAGACTAGTAGAAAATAGTTTACCAAACACACTTTTACGCTTTCTTGCCAAGTTAAATGAGAAGACCAATACCGCTGTCACAACTATGAGCTAAATATGGAGCTAGAACAAGCAGGCACTTAGCTTAGTTTAGGTTCTGCTGGTTGCCCAGCAACTTTGAAATGACAACACGACTACAGGAGGTCCACTGGACCAAGAAATAGCTGCAGCATGCAACTCCCCATAAAATCGTTTCTGTTTGTATTTATCTGAATTAAACAGTAAGATAATTGTGATGCTGAAATTTAGAGATGCTGGAAGGCAGATTTTTTAAACTTTGGACAGAGCAAGGTTAGTTGTTTCCTCCTGCTTTTTGGCAAAGCTAAGCAATTTGCCAGCATATACAGACATTACAGCATGATCAATTTTCTTATCTAATTCTTGACAAGTAAGTGAAAAGTGTATTTCCCAAAATGTTGAACTAAGAGACCTGATCCAGGTACCCACAGAAAGCCTCCAAGAAACTCGCAGGACCACAACAAACATGAATTTATACAAAGAGAGCCAAACTGAAAGGGACCCAAGGACAGACAGACAGTAGTGGACCCGAACAAACCCACAAGAGAGAGAGAATACTGGCAACATGATGCTCCACCATATGAAGGAGCTATTTTTAAGTTTTGCTATTGCTACATAGCCAATGTTAGCATTAATAGCCTAGCTGTTTACTTACCAGTCTTGCAAAAAGCTTCATTCATTGTTGCATTTAGGTAATTACATCCTCCAAGCAGCTACTTCTTCAGGGCAGATTGGATGCTACAGTGACTCAGTATCGGAAAGTGTTGAGACGGTCTGATTGGGTTGGGGCTAGCTGGTTAGCACGCTTACTTCTTTTCTTCTGCTGAAGCGAAAGAGTCAACATTGGCGTGTTTTTCCATCACTGGAGTCAGCTCTTGGCGAGTAAAGGAGGAAAGTTTGATGCTCAACTTGTAACGTTTCTTCTAAACTTGGAAACAGATGTTAATGCTAACGTAGCAATAACAAAACTTACAAATAGCTCCTTTAATGACCAGCCACAGTTAAAAGGAGTAGCAGCACATATCCTAAAAGCCTATGTTAGGTAAAAGAATATCTTTGTTAGAGATGCTGCTTCTTTGGACCTGGGATGTGCCATGTCTACTGATAATTCTGCCAAGTCTGCCTCACTAATTTGCATATTGAGATGTGATCATAATATGGGCAAGATCAAGATAAAGAGATCATAGGAGTAAATGCAGAGACCCATAGATTACATGTCATTATCCAGATATCATATCCAGATACAGATCACATGTTAATACCAGGTCTAAATGGGCCTTATTGACACACAGACCTCAGTTGTACAGCAAAGGAGTAGCTTAGTATGGTTGTGCTAGCTCAGCAAGTTCTGTCACTGACAGGTTGTTAGTCTGAACCAAGTCTGTATTTTCTTTCCTGTATGGCCGAACAAACAATAAATAACTAAGCTGTCTGGACTGAGCTCCAGCAGTACAGTACAGGTATGAGTCACTGTATTGGCCTGTCAGATAGACTCAAGTGGGTCTGGCATGTTAGACATTTAGATCAGAGCTGACAGACTTAAAAGAGTCCAAACTCTTCAGTCTGTCAACAAACTATCCCGGCTATCCGTCTGGATGTGGCGCTCCACTGTGGCATTAACTGCAGCTACTAAGTGCTTAAAACAATTGCTCCACCAACAAATAAAGCTTTATTTCTTTACTGGCTTGTATAATTGCTCCACAGGGAC